TCTCAAACCTGGATCTCCATTGGCAAGACTCGAATTGATTTGATTATTAAGAGACTGATTCATTCATATAATATAATATAATATATGCAATTATACCTTCCCCCTAATATACTAGACGGAAGGCATCTATATACATATGGGCTATGGCAATATATTAATTTATTATAATCAGGTTCGGTTCTTATCTTCTCCGAGAGATAACGGCAGGAGCGATTTAGGGCGGAGCCATCCATACATTTTCTGGGTCCGAGTTCCGTATCATTCTTTCAAAGACCACGACACGGATTCAACGAATGTGCTTCAAACACGTACGCTCTTGACTACTTCTTCCAACAAGGTTTCAAATCAACAAAGAAAATACAATCCTCTCGTGATGCTTGGTTTAATTATCTTGTCCTTTTTTCACCCGAAAGAGAACAGCTTTCTCTGACCCTCATTTCTTTATTTGGAATGGGTTTAGATTGATTTGGACACCTTAACAATCTGGTGGACAAACCCTAGTGTCCACTATAGTTTTTCTGGTTTTGCCTACAAACTTACAAAAAATACTTTAGACATGTGTCGGGTTCTGGCATGATCATCAGCCTTTTCCGGTCTTTCAAGTTCTCGGCCATTTGAAACGGTAACAAAAATATTCTTGAAATATAAAGTATAACAAAAATTTTATCGTAAGAACTCTGATTTCTTAGTTCAGAGTCGTCTTCTCTTCCTCGGTCAGAAAACTTGGCATGGACAGAATATGTTATTAATGGACATGATTTAGGCAATTCTCTTAAACATAAACTTAATTAACCTAATTAATATGATTTGAATTAGACTTCGATTAGACAATTAAAAAAAATAGATGGGTACACCTCCGTTTAAAAACACAAAGAGAGAGGAGATACAACTACGTCCTCAAGGTAAGTGATTATTCATAATTCATATGCTGAGTATAGGTTACAATCTGATTTAATCAACTAATTAACTAAATTAGTAACTCCCATAACGGACAGACACAGTAAAGAGACTCAACAAAATAAAGTGTATTTTTTTCTTTTTTTTTTTTTTCAAAACCAGAATTTCTGGAATTGTGAATGCTGTATATCATTATGATCTTGGAAAGTGTTGAAGCTATTCAGAGGATAGTACATTATTCTGAGTGTTCTGAAACTATGATGAAGTCCCACATGCTAGGGATCGAGCCCATTCAGAAGAAGCATGTTGGCTCTCGGAAAGCACTCGTGACGTGGATCACTTACTGCCACTGACGCAACAAAGGACTGTGCTTGTGGGATATGAGCCAGCTAGCCAAAGACTATAGTGCATCTTGAGATTGGTCATGATGATGATAACAAAAGTTGCAATAATTCTGGGCCAGTACAAAGGCGAGAAAAAATACCAGAAACATCTTCTAGCTGATCTTCCAGAACCATTTATGAGACAGGAAGTTAGAAAAAACATACTACATGTAATTCTTTTATTTCTAACCTAACATCATTTTTTATTTTTTTTATTGCTCAGATATCTTTTTGTTAGTCCGTTTATAGTTGGAAACTCACTGTATATTTCATGTCACTCCCAGGCATTCTTAGATTTTACCCTTGATTAAGTTCTGATCACTTAGCTTGCTGATCAGCATGCAAGCTCCTTCCATTTATAGGATCACTATATCCATTGTCTCTACTCATTGGCTTTCATTGCAATTAGCTTCAAAGAATCGAGATTTTATGCAAAACCGTAACATCTTTCAAACATTATTGTTAAAAAAACCTCTTGATTTCGTTGATTCCTTTTGTGTTTTAGGGACAACTGGATTTTGAATTTCATGCATTTTATGAAGTTTGAGAAGGATGAAACAGTAGTAATCATGGCTCCATTATCATCACGACATTTTATAGTTACACATTCACGCATTTATTGATTGAGTTAAAAGTCATTCTTATCTTTAAAATTTATCTAAAAGGTCATTAGGAACCTTAAACTCAATTATAAATTAATTATATCTCTGAACTTTAAAAAATATCTCTCTTGTCTTGTTACTGTGTCATTTTCTCATTGTTAGTGTGCCTACATTATTTTTTTTTTAATATTTGAGTTAAGGATACTCATTGACTCTTCAAATAAAAGTTAAGGAGTAAAAATAACTTTTAACATAATAAATAATATTAAAAAAATATTAAAACTTATTGATAACTAAATGATGTTAAATGTTTTTAATATTAAAGTAATAAAGAAGTGAATATTTAACATTAGAAGATGTACAAAATTGATCTATAATTAAATTTAAAGTCCTTAATAACTCTTTGGATAACACTTATTGATTTCTTCAGCTTTTACAGGGAAAAAAAAGATATCAACGAGTTTTGTTCTTAAATAATCAGGGGGAAGAAGGCGAAATATCACCTTTATTTAATTTACGAACAGTTTGTAAATAAAAGCGCCGGCCCGTTGTAGGCCATTCTGAGTTTTGAAGATGAATGCTAGACAAAAACCCTGTAAATGCAATCAAGTCTAAAAATAAAAAATTGATAAACGGTGCACTCTATATATAAATTAAATACCATAAAATCCATTAAAAACCATGCTTATAAGTCATGAGTAATGTGACTCGCCTCATAATTCGTCCAAGAATATACGTTAAATGAAGGGGGGCTTGGCCCAGGAAGGAAGTAAAGCCCACTTGGAATGTTGGGCAGCATTAGCTGGGCTAGCACGGGCACGTGGGGTATGAATCAATGAGTTCCATCCCAATCAAGTTTAAGAGCCTTCTATTAATAAAAAAAAAAAAAAAGAGTTTAAGAGCCTTCTGTAGCGAGCCTCCTAGATTGACGAGGTTATCATTGTCAGTCTCAGATAGCGTCTGGTTTTGGTCAATACTTGAAGGAGGAGAATGGTTGAGAGCTTGTCGATCTTTGCTAGTCTGGAAGGATCAAATCAGGGCCTCGGGAAATTGAGGGAGACATTCTTTATAATTATAAAGATATTGACATTGATTTGGTCAAAAGCGCTTGTTTAAAGATTAATAATTAAGACCATAGTGAAGTTGCAGTCAAACCAATTGCGAATAAAATATTTTTTTAAACGAGTCAAGACATTGGCTTAAATAGTTTACCGATTCAAGTGACTAAACTAACCCAGATTTTCATATCATAAGAATCACATGAGATATTGTGTTCAACATGTTTGGCGTGATGACTGATTAGTGAGATGGGGTTTCTCCTGCGGAAGAAGTTGAAAGCTATGCTAAAATGTTATGTCGCGTTGAGATTTTGAAATGAAAGTATCCATGGAGATGTAACGGATGAGAATAATTATCGGTTGAGATTTTGTATCAGCTGAATTTATTTTTATTTTTTCTTTTGGTTGTCCAAGGTATTTCCACAATTAGCAGTGGTGGCCTGTGAGACTAATCTTCTAAAAAATTTAAACATCATTTAAGTAATTGACTCTCTCAAGTAATATTTTTCTATACATATTTTTAGGAATTAAACACTGGAATGATGTTTAAAGGGTCCAAACCACTATTATCTATACCACATCTATTTGTTTGTATCAGCTGATTTTATACGAGACTTCTTCTGAGAAGTGTTTATTTAAATTTTGGATGAAACAACACAAATCCGGGAATGAAAATAAAGATTTTCCTGTTCACGGCGTATAAGTTCAATGATGGGTATCATAATTCTTCGCCCAAACGAGCATGCACAAGTCTCATGCATCGTATTGTTGAACCAGGTGGGTTCTATATAACTGGTCTTATTTAACTGTAAAGTCTCTCAGGCAACCCAAAAAAAAAAAAAAAAAAACTCAATTGGTGAAGAAGATATGGCTAATTCTTAAATTAAATTAATTCATAAATAGAAATTGCCTCAAACTTGTAATAAATTATGTTTTCTAGTCACACACATGTATGAGAGAACAATTATAATGATACAGGTATTTAAAAAAACACAATATTAGAGAACGAAAACCATACATGTATTTCAAGAGACAATGTGGCCGAGAGCTCTTCATTTATGAATTAAAATCCAAAATAAAGCTCACCAAAAGATAAAACAAAAATCCAAAACAGGTTTGCAAGAATTAAAATGCCTGCGCAACAAAAAAATTATTGCTCTACTCCCTTGGTCTAGAAGAAATTATTTTTTTCCAGTGATTTTGTATAAATATTTTTTATAATTTTTTATTTTACAATTTTTTGATTAAAGTATTATATATGAGAAAGAAATTTTTTAAAAAATATTAATAAGGATATTCTGTAAAATTTGTTTTCATTTTAAACAATATCAATAATTTAACTTTTTATCATTTAGATTCGATGCGGTAATTGACCTAACTTCTACTCCATCTATTCAAAAATATTAATTGAGAAAGTATATAAAATGAGAGCACTTCTTTTCAAAAGAGAGGGTATTTCTTTGAGGGAAGAACGGTAACAATTTCGTCATGCTGGGATCCAAAGAGGCCAGAGAAGGCAGGAAAACAAACCAAAAAGGTCAAATATTGACATCATTAGCCAGGTACCTAAATTAGACCATAATAACGAACAAGTAGTTAGTGTATAGTGTATTCATGAGGTTTGCATGGAGTATTAAGGAAGCGCAAGAATGAATATCAATATTTGATAATATATTAACAGAGTACATCACATAGCATGATTCATTGTCCATACATCATGCAGATCTAAGCTCATAATTTAAATCAAAAAAAAGGTATCAATGAAAATGAGAAAAGGCATTATAAGACATCACATTAAGTATTCACTATAATTTTTAAATTTTAATAAAAAATTAAAATTGACTTGTAAATGAAATAAAGCAGAGTACTTTACAAAATAATTTTAAAACAAAAGAGGAAATAAAAGAAAATGATGCGATAATGATAATCAATAAAAAAGAAAGCGGACAAAATGAGAATGGATAAAACCAGGCAGTTGTAAAATCCAACAAAGCGGCATGGAACAGGTCAGAGTCACGAACGCGATGGCTTCACCATACCTTCACTCTTCGACCGTACATCTCTCGCGTCCCTCTGCTCTGCCTGCCCTCTCTCCCTCCCTCTCTCTCTCTCTCTCTCTGTCTGGAGGAAGAGAAAGGGACCATTAGCACAAAACATATCGTCTCTTTGAAACTCGAACTGAGGCGAATAATAATATATAATAAACAAACCTAAAATTCTAAAAATGAGAATTACAATCACAAATCACAAATAGATAAAAAGGATTTTCTTGGGGATCATTTTCTCTCTCCCTCTTCTTTACTTTCCCCTGACCCTTCAATTTTCCTTCCCTCCAAACACCGTTCCCGCTTGTGCATTCGCGGGGACAAGTGTGAGAAGCCATTGAGGTTCTGGTGTTCGCGGTTGTGCTCTCTTTGCCTTCGCCGGCTCCTCTTGATTCCCCCAACCGATTTTTTTTTTCAAGGTGAGTTTCGATCTTTTTCCCTTACTTTCTTTTTTTTTGAAAAAAAAAAAAACAATTCATCTTTTTCCTATATTTGTTCTGGGAAAGACTAATTTATTTGGAAATCCTTTTATCTGGCAAGGCTTCGAGCATTTATCCTGAAAGGTGAATGATAATTATAAACGATTTTCAGAGCTGGTATTTGAAAATTATTCGCCGTGATATTTTTAATGGGCAGGCGTCTTTCTTTTCTTGGGCGTAGGTTCGGGGTTGATTGTTTGATCTGAGGGGGACCGACAAAATAAAGGAGCGCTTGGCATGGAAAGAGGGCATTGCTATAATTTGTTCTATTATTATTGATTTACAAATTCTTCGCGTTTGGATGTTAATTTGAAATGGAATCGGACGCAGCTCCATTTTCCAGCCAATTGGTAAAATGTTGCGACGGTGGGTGTAGATGTTCTTTGGTAGCTGAATCTCCGGGCACTTGGATTCGTTCTGTTAAACGGAAGCATGATGAGTTTGAACGGGGTAACCAATTGTTTCTACCTGCCTTGAATTACTTTTCAGTTGCAAGGGTCCAAATTGAGAATGAATGTGCTGCATTGCGCGAGATAGTTAGCAGACAACAGGAAACTATACAAGATTTATATGCTGAGCTGGAGGAAGAGAGAAATGCTTCATCGACAGCTGCAAACGAGGCCATGTCAATGATATTAAGGTTGCAGAGGGAGAAGGCAGAGATTCAAATGGAAGCCCGGCAGTTCAAATCCTTTGTGGAGGAGAAGATGTTGCATGATCGGGAGGAAGTCCTAGCATTTGAGGATTTGTTGTATAAAAGAGAACAAGCAATCGAGTCACTTACTTGTGAAGTGCAGGCTTATAAGCATAGGATGATGAGCTATGGGCTCACTGAGTCTGAAGCAGATGGTAGGAGTCTGTATATGGAAGATATTGATGCTGAATATGAACCTTCCATCCATGAATACCCTCCGTTGAAGTGCAATGTAAATGAAACACATAATGCTGCCAGGGATGCTGATGACGTGGACGTTGAGAAATATGCATTTGGTGAAACCCCTCGTGATCGATTGAGGAATTTGGAAAATAGGATATGTCAAATGGAAAGAAATCCCACTTATAGCCAGGTGGATGGGGATATTTCAGGAAAAAATATTCTAGAGAAGGTGATAGTTGGGCAGTCTCCTCGACCAAGTAAACATTCGAGGAAATTTTCTGGTGACTCTAGTACATATGCTGGAATGGGTAGAGAGATGAGACCTGAATCTTTTGTGGATTCTCCTAAACTTAGTTCTTCCTTTCGGAAGATTGATCATATCGCACTGCCAGAGGATCTATCCAACTTGAAAAGGGTAGACAATGCATCAGAAGCTGGTGACGACACTGGTGACAGAGTTTATACCATCGACTCTATTCATAGTGGCCCCCAAAATGGTATTAAAGAGTCCAAACCTGTATCTGGTGTTTATGAAGATTATTCAACCACTCCAAGGGTTGACAATGTTTTTGGATATGAAGACCCTGACATTAAAAAGTTATCAATGAGGCTCCAGGCACTTGAGGCTGATAGGGAATCAATGAAGCAGACAATCATTTCAATGAGTACTGATAAAGCACAGATTGTGTTACTGAGGGAAATAGCTCAACATTTATGCAAAGAGATGTCACCCCAAAGAAGAATGGCAGTGAAAAGGCCATCTGTTGGCGGATTTTCGTCTATCATTAAGGTAAATAAAACAATGGTTTCGTGAATGCAATGCGTGTGCTTCTGCTATATCTGATCTCTTATATATTGTTGATATTATTTATCATTTGGTTGAACTTTATTGCTTTAAGTTTCTGCGAAACTGAGTCATGAATTCCGAAATTCTAGAGATGCCTTTGAAGCTAATTTATCAAGTGAACGCATACGAAGTTTTACTCTAAAATTTAACAGCAGATATTACTCATGCTGGCTGTTTTCCTTTCATATCAAAGATTGTTCTCTCTATGAAAGATATCATCTGCCACCCTTTGCTGTCCATACAAAGCCCTTTTTTTTTTTTATAAAAAAAAGGAAGAAAGAAAGGAAAACTCCCGGCTACCATAGAATCATTTAGAAACACGTGCTGTTTCCCTGTTTGCATTGCTCATTTAACAAATAAATTGCTTTTATGCCTATCACTCGTAAGTGAAGATTTTTATGTTCTCACTTGATATATTTTATTTTTCTCTTTTGTGTTCAGACAATCACAGCTGCTCTTTCATGGAGGAAGAAGGCACGCCAAAGCAAGTAAGTAGAGAGTAATACTCTGTTAAGGGGTAAAATTGGAGGGATTATTTTGCGGTGAATGAAATTTGGAGGTAAAACTTTGGATAACAAAAGTAGGATAAATAAGTATAAAATTGAAGAGAATATTAAACCTTAATTTCACCTGAATCTACTCTAAATTGGAGCAGTAAAGAGAAAATTGGAATGTTGCCTTCATTTGCATGGCGTGTCCTCATTTATATGACATTGAACTAAAAGGAGAAAAATGTTTTTGATGGCATCGTGTTTTCATCATTGTGTTCATATTCATGTTTCTATCAATATAATAGAATGCTATTATGCGAGGTCATGCTTGAACTCTTATAACCACCTAAACAGTTTTTTGTCTGAAAGACAACACCGTACTTTGAATTTAATGTAGCCAATACTTATAAAACACTATATGAAGGAAGAGAATATTTAGGGACTAAGGGAGAGAGAGGATGTTTGAAGGTCTTATGCGGGAACTTGTGAAGTTGGATCTGAGAATTATGGATTGCTTTATATATAAACCGTTGTCTCAAAGCTTAGGCATTTTATCCAAATGGCAATTTTACTGTGTCCATGACTTGTCTGATTTTGTGGGTCCAGACTCCAGAGGATAAGCAATTGTCTTACAGTTTACTTTCTAAGCGATTGTTGACCAAATGATCTGAAATGGTTAACTCCAGGTATACGTTCGGGCAATCAGCCAACGGCGTCGGCTTGCAAACGCTTCTGGATAATGGGCCTCGTGCAAGGCAATGGAGATGTCTTTCTAGCACAGAACTCAGAGTTTAGTTCTTGAATCCCTGTATCAGCCCACAGCGCAGAGCCCAAAAAGGGAAGCACCAACTCAATTTTAACCCCACTATTGCGAGGAGATATATCTTTTTTTTTCTTTTAAATATTTTTTCTCGTGGGAAGTGTGGTGTTTTATGCATTGTTAGTTCATTCGTTCTTTTGTATTCTTTGCATGAAATTGAATGTAATTTGTTGGTTGTTTTGTGAAAAATGAAGTGAGCATGATTTGCTCGAATAACCTGTACATGGCATACATAATGTTTCATAATCTTAAGTTCAATGCAAGTTTCTTAACTCTCCGTCTCTTCCTGCAATGTACATAGTATATAGCTTTCTCAGGCCCCTCTAATGAACTTGTTGAGCCTTCGTTAATATTATTATCCCTTTTCCGAAGGTTAAACCAGCTGCATGTAATTTAGAACAATATCTAGAATATCACCTTTCTGTGTTTGAATGGATTTTCCCATATGTCTAATATATATATATATATATATATATTGGGTTTTCACTTATATTATGGGCACGGTTGGGAAAGATGCCGAGATTGGGAGATATTAAACGTAGACTAAAAATAAAAAATAAAAATGGTATTCAATTTTAACAAATAATTAAAAATAATTATTAAATATTAAATATTTGTAACAAAATAAACATGTTACATATAAATAAAATAAGTGTGTATTATTATTTTACTATTCTTTTATTCCTATTATTTATTTATTTTTTAACTGAACAAGTGGAGGCTAAATTGAGCAATTTTTCCAATTTTCTAGTAGTTACTTAAAAAAACTTAAAATTTCTTGAAAATTATACTCATCTATCTATTTGTAAATCATATTAAAACATGTGAAGAATATACAAAGTCAACATTATGTGCAAAGAAAGATTGAAGAAAAATTTTAAAAAATATACAAACGATTTATAAAATATAATTTTTTTTATAAATTTTAACTGTATATTGATATTAGTTTTTTTTTTATGGAAGTGCATCTTGGAATCCGCTTGAATAAGAATAAGATGAAATATTTGCATCACAATTTTGATAAGAGGTATAGTAATTTAGAAGTAAGATTAGGAAATTAAATTATATCTGAAGTGAAAAAATTAAGATATTTGAAAGCTATTATTCAATATGATAAAAATGTTGAAAATAAAATATAAGTTAAATGGTTTAAATAGAGAAAGGCTAAATGAGTTATTTATAATCAAAATATACCTAATAAACTTAAAAAGAAAGTTTTATCAACCTACTATAAACTCAATTATATTATATGATAGTAAATGTTGGATCTTAAGAGACAACAAGAGTATAAATTTGGGTTAATAAAGATGAGAATATTAAAATGAACATGCAAGCAGACATAAAAAGATAAAATTTAAAATGAACATATATATATAAAAAAATGAGTAGGACATCTATTAAGAAAAAAATAATAGAAAATTATTTTGTAGTAGTTATGTATAGAAAAGAACGTGGGAGGCACTAATGAAAAAGGTGAAACATGTAATCTCAAATCATATAAATAATATGAAGGATGAAGAAAATATTTACAAAAATTGTTAGACAAAACCTCCTAATTAATAATATTTTTAAAAATTTAGTTAATGATAAAATATAATAGTATAGTATAATTGATATAACTGATATCATTTAGTGGGATAAAGATTATTATTGTAATGTTAGTTTTTTATGGTAAAAATGATATATATATTTAAAAAAAAAGTAAAGAATATACTGCAAGCGACATTTCAGCAAAATATTTTCAAAAGCGTTTTCGTGTACAAGCCGGAACGTTTCGAGTAGGATGGAAACGCGTTTTCGGAATCACCTTCAGCTTTCTTTTTAGGTTTCGGCATCAGTGCAACGCCCTCAACTTCCACAATGCTTAGCTTCAAGAGCTTCTGGTACCGTGCAAGAAGGATCAAGAAAAAGAACAGAAACAAGAGCAAACTCAAAAGTCCATCCGCTATCCATAAGCAAAAGTGCATTTCCCATAACATTGAATATCTAGACCGAGAAGGAGTGAAAGAAGATACTGAAGGTTTCAGGCTCAAAAGTTCTGCTCCATCACATACTTACTGGGTGCAGCCTTTGGGCAATCTTTATCTCAACCCTGGTTCTATCAACTGCAGAGATACAGGTTTAGGTAATCTGCACACTCTGACAGACGAGCTTGTTCTTGAAATTCTGGGGTTGTTAAATGGGAACGACTTGGGGGTTTTAGCAACTGTGAGCAAGTCCTTTTATGTTTTCACCAATCATGAACCCATTTGGAGAAATCTCGTGTTGGAAAATCTTAGTGATGGCTTTCGGTACAATGGGTCTTGGAAATCAACTTATATTGGTACTTACTACCCTTTATTTGATGTATCAAATATTGCCGTCCAGAATTTGAAAGTGAAAGATTTTTATTCTGATTATCTTTTCCAAAGTTGGCTCTGTGCTAATCTTGAAATGAAACCCGAATGGCTGGTAAGAGATAATATAGTTCGCAAAAAGGGCATTTCGGTTGAAGAATTTGTGAAGAATTTTGAGGAGACTAATAAGCCGGTATTGCTGGAAGGATGTCTTGATAATTGGGATGCGCTGAAAAAATGGGATAGTGATTATTTGGTGCAGTTGTGTGGCGATGTTAAGTTTTCAGTCGGGCCAGTAGAGATGAGGCTTGAAGACTACTTTGAGTATTCAGTTCAAGTGAGGGAAGAAAGACCATTGTACTTGTTTGATCCAAAATTTGCTGAAAAAGTTCCAAAGTTGGATTCACATTATGAAGTGCCAGCTTACTTCCAGGAGGACTTGTTTAGTGTCTTGGGCAAAGAGAGACCTGACTACAGGTGGATTATTGTTGGTCCAGCTGGATCAGGATCATCTTTCCACGTTGATCCAAATTCAACTTCAGCTTGGAATGCTGTGATCAAGGGCTCCAAGAAGTGGATATTATTTCCTCCTGATGTCATTCCACCTGGAGTTCATCCTAGCCCTGATGGTGCAGAGGTTGCATCTCCTGTTTCAATAATTGAGTGGTTCATGAACTTTTACTGCGCGACAAAAAGTTGGATGAAGAAACCTATTGAGTGTATCTGCAAAGCTGGGGAGCTTGTCTTTGTGCCTAATGGATGGTGGCATTTGGTGATCAACTTGGAGGAGTCCATAGCTATAACCCAAAATTATGTCAGCAGGTAAGATTCTGTACTGCTTTCTGTAGTTAGTTTAATTAATAGTATCGTATTGAGTAGTATATTATCAATCTACGCAAACTAATTTGTAGCCCACTTTTTTGAAAGTTGATTTCTTTAGGTTTGAACAAGCTATGCTTTCATTAAAATTATATGCAGGAGTGTTATGGCTCACTTGATTTGGTTTCTTCATTCACTCGTGGTAGCAATATGGTGTTCTACCTTTTGATCATTCCGTTGACTATTGGGAAGTAGTTATAGGCTTCTACATTCTTCTGTTTCTCCATTGACTTTTGTCTTCTTCTTCTTCTTCTTCTTTTTTAATACATCATGGTAGTAGTTCCAGCTTCAGAGGCTAGGGTCTAAAACTGTATAATGACATCGTGAAGTTGTTTGGCTTGTCAGGTTTTGCACTCTGAGTAATCAAGTGCTTGATTTTAATGTTAAAACCATGACATGTTTTTATTAGTTAGTGGTTAAGACAAGTTTTTGTGGCTCAGTGAATTTGGTTCTTTGTACCTGAAACCGAACATGGAAATTTCACATTCAAGCTAATGCTGTAATGTCTATTATCTCTTCTGATACAGTTGGCAAATTTCAATTTTCCCCACCCTGTCATCCTTGTGGTTGTATAAACAACTTGAAAATTGCTTAAAATTCATGAAAAACTAATTGCTAAACAATTTAATGATTTAACATTTGTGTAGTGTTTAATTTGGTTTCACCTTTGTATTTTGCATATTTTGTAATCTCAAATGGTGCAGGATGGAAATTCTTTCTTTGACAGAACTCGTTGTGGTAATTTGTTGCAGGAGAAACTTGCTTAATGTCTTGGATTTTCTTAAAAGGCCAAATGCGAGCGTACTAGTATCTGGAACAAGAGATCGAGTGAATTTGTATGATAAGTTTAGAAATGCTATCGAGGATTCTTTTCCTGGAATAATTGATGAGCTGACGCGGAATGAGAGAGAGAAACAGATTCAGCAGAGGAAACTTTCCTTCTGGGATTCTGTCACGGATTCTAAAGTAGGAGCTTTTAAGTTCTCTTTCTAGAGGGAGGCAAGAAGCAATAATCAATTTTGCTAATCCACAGTTCAGGTGCATCATACAAATCATCGTCTTAATTCGTCATTCATTAAATTTACTTTCATTTTTGTATCTTACAGAATTATCATTTTCAATTTTTCATGGTGATCACCAATTTTTGGCAATCTGCTGTAGTTTAAAAATTTGTTTGTCCGTTTGTTTGCTTGTTTGTTTTGTTTTGTTTTTTTTTTTGTTGAAATCTTGAAGTCTCCATCAGACTTTTATCACTGCACTATCAAATTCACTCACGCGTCTACTCTACGATTTTATCTTTTTGATTTATATGGTTCATACCATCATGAGTTATATTGTTATTATTTTTTACGTTAATTACAGAAGTTTTGAATGTTAAGTTATTACATTATAATCATAGAAAAACTAAACAAAAAAAATTAGTAGCAAAACCAAAAACTAGATTTAAAATTTATAAAACTTCAATTATTCATAAGAATTATTTGTGCTCTTCAATCTTTTTTATAAGCCATGTTTTAAAAAGTTTTCTTGGTCATTTATATAAGTCATTTTTTCTTTCTTTCTTTTTTTTAAGTAACATTTGATTTACAATGTCAAAAATACTTTCTAGCAAATTCTTAAAAAAAAGAGTGTAATATTTTAATTTTTAAGAAAACTCTTCTTACACATCAAATCACCCTTTTTAAAATCTAAAGACAAAATTGAAAACCGATTTATTTTTAGGATAATTTTATTATTCTAATTAACTCACATTAGTTTTGGTAAATTGGTTAAAAATGACTTATAAAAATGGGAGGAAATAAAAATTACAAAATAAATTCAAGCACAAGAGTTAAAAGAATTTGTTTTTTGAATGCTCAAAACTTGATGCACATATTCCAAATTTGCATGTCATGAGATTAATGCATTTATTTAAAGTATCTAAATTTACACTTCTTTCGGGACTGATAAATCTAAATGTCGATGCATGCATACCCTCGCATTGAATCCTCTGCAATAACTACACCTTGTGTAAACCAAGAGTGAAATAAGTATAGGCTCCATGTTTATGGTTGTTTCCCTCCCACCACCTTTGTGAATCCCTAATCCAAACTATACAGACATTTCTATACATGTCAAGCAGATCGGGAGGATTTTCCTTTTTTCTTTTCTTCTTTCCTTGCTGAAATCATCAGCAATTCTGACGAGCAGTAAAATCCATGTGTCTATATTCACCATTCAGCATAGAAGAAAAAAAATTGAAAATGGGGGAAAATGGTCAACATTCTGCTATGGTTCAAATCCAAATATTACACATGCTGTGCATTCCTAGAGTTTAAGCGGATCACCACCAAATAAGGATATGCTTGCAAAAATTACAATTGGTTTGACATATTACACATTCTTGTTACAACCTGTTCTTCGAAGGTAGATATGAAAAATGCATGGGAATTTTTTTTTACCTGGGAAGAAACTCCGAAACTGTAAGGTTTGAAATAATTAGTCAGCACCGTGATGGAAACCAGAATTATTTGTAGAGGATAAAATTATACAGGCGATAGAGAAGCTGTATAAGAATCATCAGAGTACTTTAGGCCCTTTAGCGAGCATGGCTGCAAGCCAGAGATGACTATGGCTCCAGGAATGCCAAATGTATCATTGCAGTTTTGCAAGCTTCCACCACCTGCAGCTTTAGAACCTGATTTCTCACAAGTTGAATTCAAAGCAACATTCAAGCCAATTGAGCTCGGTTCTGTCACAAAACTGTAAGCCACAAAAAAGAAAACATCATTTAAGGGCCAAATAACAAAATCTGACACATCTTTTTTACTTGATTAAATAGCATGTCACAAACCCAGCACATCACTCAAGATATAGCTCATGATCAAGAAATATTCAGCTTGTTTTGGGATTCCTGATGACTGAGAATGACTGAAGGTTGACAAGACCATGAAACCCAAACATAGATTGAAGCAGCTAAGCTAGGAAACGAGGAGGGACAACCTAACGTCCTAGATCGTGCTGAATTAATACAATATTCGTTCCACGCACAGGAACCACTTCATTGTACAGACCGCATGAATTTGGTCCTTCCCAAACAATTCAAAGTAGCGACAGGGTATCATCATGCAGAAGCTATCCATACCTTGCCTCAAATTTTCTTCCTTCAGAACTCATCAATGAACATATACCAGAAATAATCCATGGTGGAAGAATCGTATCTTTGATTTCAATACTACAACAAAGGCCATCTGATGAACCTTGGGTAATTTCAGCATCTCTCCTATATGATTCATCATAGGAGGCAGCAATTTGTTCAGCCCGTTTCATCTCCATGCATTTAATCTACAAAGGGGTGTCATTATGCTCCAATCATCTCTTGTTTCATGGCAAGAAAAATAACCAATGTATCTCAATTAAGCAGATTTCTCTACTGGTAGCACTAGCATAGCAAATTTACTTGAGCGAGTTTACAGCAAACATTCAATTTTCAAGGGAAGTATAAGTGCTTATTTGGAGGATACTGATAAATCTTATCATCACTAGTCCAGCATGCATATTCAAAAGATTAAGCAACTACTGGCAACTGCTTTTGAAGGTTTGTTAAATGTTTCAGGATGGTAGGTGTTACCTAACCCCAAATTAACCATAATAAATTCCACAAGTGAGGTGTCAATACCTGTTCTTTCTCAAGTGGTGTAGGTAATGATGTAGGTAAAAGGATTATCTCGACAGTTCAGCAATCAACTAAACATCTAGATGCTAAAAAAAGAGCAATAATAGGGTGTGACAATTATTAGGGGAGAACACAAAGGTATGACATACATCAGGAGAAGAAATGGCAGCATTTTGAAACGGAACAGGAGAACATAATACAGGGACATCCATAGCAGATAGTGAGGTAAAGAAAGATCTGCAGACAAAAGGAACTAGTCAACAAGCCAGAAATTGAGTAAACAACAAATTCGCATAACCCACTAACATGATATGGAAAATCTGGACAGAAACATTAGAAGAAAGTTACCATTAATTGGTTCAATAGTCACCTGTAATTTAGTAAAAGGTCATATAAACCGTGTACATTCATGTTGCCACTGAAAACCAGTAAAGATTCTGGGGTATTGTCAACATCAGAGAAGGATCTCATTCTTCGAGTCTGCAATTTGTTCACAGAAAGCAACAATCAACTCAAAAATATAAAAATTATACATGGTGAAGTTAACTGATAGCCCTGTATTGGGAGCACTAGACAGATACAATAAGGACAATCATTTTCCCTACAATAATCTTAAATTCTTAATAAGTGTTGACATATACGAGAAGATACCAAAAACTCAAATAAAGGCGAACTTCCATTAATGAAAAGGCCATACATTATCATCAGACAGCCAATAATTGAAGCCAACAGAAATTTTGTCAAGCCAGTTAGACTTATGGAGACAATTATAAAGAACGCTATTAACTAGTTGTAGATCCCTAGTCAAAGCAAGGCATAAATCAGGCATTGCATAAGAAAATGAATAACATGAACGGTCTATTGATTCAAACCTGCCCTAGATTATGCCTTTCTATTTCTGATAGCTCAACCAGGTGTTCAGTAGCAATCTGCTCCACTTTAGAATGGCAAAGAGGCATAGAGAAAGAAACATCCTAGTCAACAGGGATATGGCCAAAAATAAGTATAAACATGATTACTAAATAAATATTAGGGCACACATTTCAATATCAAGTATAAGACTAAAAATAGGAGAATCTTTAATTTCACAAAACAAATATACGACCTTTTTTCAAGTCATGATATTGAGCAGTTTAGCCATCAAATGAGGATTTTGGCAAGAAAGAAAGAAAGAAAGAAAAAGGAAATGGAAAAAAAAACCACCAAATGAGGATAACCTAGTAGATTTTTTATTATTTTCACATGTATAAGCAACAAATAACTAATAAGCAACACCAATTAGCTTATAGCTATATTATGCTAGTCTAACCATCAAACAGGATAAGCTTATTGTCTTGGGTTTGATCCCTAGTTCATATCCCTTACTTTTTCCCTACTCCCCTCCACAGTTCAATGACATGCTATGTAGCAATACTAGCAAACATAACTTAACAGGTAGTTTCACTGAGATCTGCCTAGAAAATATTCTATCAAAGGTAAATTACTCTTATCCTGTGTATCCAGTACAGGAAATAACAAGCTATGAGAGAAAAGTATACTAGGCAGAGAGTGAATACTGAGTAAGCAGTGACAAATAAGCACAAAGCACCCATCAAAGTGAGGAATTTGTGAATTTATTCTTACATGCTCTCTTAATAATGATCTCAAGCCTCTAGTTGACTGAGAGATATAAGCATTGCAAGAGGATATGGATCTATCAGAACCATCACTGCCGGTGAACATCACCACAAACTGAGAAGTGCAAACTAGAGGATGGAGGAAACACAGGAAGATTAATACTTGGTTTCCATTCAAATTCAAATTCAAAACAATAAATAAGGCAGTGGAACTAGTGAGGGGATGTTATCACCATAAAAGATGCCACATGTATTATTACGAAGCATGTAATAGAGATTCCGGAAAGATTCTTCCCAATGTATCTGCCGTTTATTTAAGAAATCCAATTCTACTGCACAAAAGGGAAACATCCACCTTAATAAAGAGGGAGAAAACAAGGAAGAGACTGGAAATGCAAAAAGTTAAAAAGCTGCCTGACAACCTCCATCAGCTGTTGATGAGCTCAACACTGATATGACAGAAGGTGGGAGGATGGATTGAGGATACGTCCATGAATGCAAAACTTCAAAGTCATCAGAATTAGATGTGAGATGTGAATGACCCCTCATATTTTGACCCTTGAAAGTGCCATGTTTGAAGGTGAAATGAGGCATGGTTCGGCGCATAAATGACCTCTGAATCCTGAAGTTCAGAAATCAACAAAAAATAAACAGGATAACAACCAAGAACACCAAGGATAGCTGAGACCAACAAAGTAAGCAGGCAATAAAGTATTCAAATAAATCACATCAATGAATGCAGCAGTACTAACAAAGTGAAAATTGCATGCCATTCCCCTTCATTATCAATGGTAAGATGTCGGTCCATCCAATGTACTCACCAATTCACAGAAGAAGATACAACACGCATACTAGTTTTTAGTGTAAGATCCAGAGGAGCCTTATGGCCAGGTACATGGCACTCATTGATAAAATTGCCCACAGTGGTTGATGCACTATCTCCAAGTCTTTTAGATGAATTAGCAGCTAAACCACAACCCACATTTAGTTCTGGGGCAGCTAGTCCTCTTAATGCATTACCCTGTATTTTAAAACATGTTTACAAATGGCACCCAACATATAAGTACGTAAAAAGAAAAGAAATCCGCCAATGTATACCATGTCAATAGCTGCCAAGCCTGAAGATCTATCAGCAGATGATGAAAGCTCAGTTACAGTGAGGAACTTTCCTTGGCTGCACTTTTCGATTGTATGACCAGACTGCAATGTACTATCTTTGCTTACTTCACTAGAAGCAACAGTATTCTCTAAGCTGAAAGCAGTTACAAAGAAAATCAACACAGGGAAATTATAAATTTGAACTAAAGAGAACACATAGGAAACAAGGCAAACCATGATATCCCTTGCTGTTTTGTGGTAGTCAAATTAGTAAGAACATAGGGATTCTTCAGGGTGCTAGTTTTCTCCGTAGATGTATTTTCCTAAACATAATAACAAGGTTACTTAGTTCAATTCGAAACACGTTAGCAGTCAGAGATTTTCCATCTAACGAGGATGTGAACAGAAAAAACTCAGCGTAAGTCACATGTCTTGTACAAATGTAATAACCTTTGCGTTTTCTTTTCCAGAAGTCATTCTAAACCTGGACTTTTTGGCAGGAAATACATCATCAACGCGTGTATCAATGAATTTTGAATTCCTTGATAGCCCTGGCCTTTTAAGCCCATTATCCACGTCACTGGTGTTGCAAACATAAATCAAGCAAGCTGTCAACAAATTATGAAATAACAAATTCAACGAGAATCAGAAGAAGCTCACTTTGAAGTACTGCTCAAAGGCAACGGAGATTCATCTGTAAGGTCCACAGTCACAGCACTAGCCCGCTGCAACTGTTCTCCCTGCCAACAAAATAAAGATGATATAGACATGAAAATTTCTGCCTCAGCATTCCACAACAGTTCATTAATAGTAATCAATATCAATGAAAAGATGCTGAAATTAATCGGACTGGCATATATATCAGAATCACGTAATTGGACGCTTTAATTTAAAAAGAGAGAGAGAGAGAGACTTACCCTCAATTCTGATGGCGTCTTTCTTTTCATTATTGTATCACTATTTCGAGGCCCTGAGCCAATTAGATGAGAGCGATGGAGTAACGAACTTGGAGCAACAACTTTTGCCATGCCTTGGCTTCGAAAACCACAATTGCAGCTTTCTTACCAATCAAAGCACGTCCTATGATTAATTGAAGTAGACCTAGTGAGATGCGAGATGAATTTTTTAAAAAAATCAAAATCAAAATGTCCACAATGATGGAATAAACATTTTAAGCATTGGCATATCTGATTTAAGTCGACGAAGCCGCGATTCTAATAGTGATAATAGGAGCAAAGAACGCAGGATCGCGACCAAGATTATTCCCAGTAGTAGTACATATAAAGACCGGAAGCAATTCAGAAGCTAAGGAATCAAAAGATTGATTTCATCTTACCTCCATTCTTAGGTAAAATACAATATGCCCTTAAACTGAGACTGTATCAAGTCCCGGATTTCGCATAAGTTTCGCCCTAAAGACGACCTTAGGGCAGACTCAGGCCTGAGTTTGGAGGAGAGGAGGGGGAGTAAACTGAGTGAACTGAGATGGCAGAGAATGAGAAAATTAGCGGCGAAAGTGAATTGCTTTCAAAAGCAATTTGATTTCCCTCCTGTTTCTGACGCCGTGAGCACGACGCCGTTTCCGACCGTTCGGGAGTCTCGTGTGTTGAGGAGCTTCCACTATCCAGAAATGATCGTATTTGTAATTTTGTACCTCGAATTGATATTTTCACACGAGAGCGAAACCTTTTTTTTTTTTTTTGGTCACCAATTAAAGTTGGCATGCATGATAAGGATTCTCATCGTTTAAGTAAATGATTGAAAATCATGATATTAATTACGTAGAAATTTAGTTTATATTTTGAGAGACATAATTTTTATTTTTAGTAAAATTTATTTTTTATATTATCAAAAAAATGAGTTTTAGCAAATTTAACCAGCATTATATGGCTAAATAAAATTAATAACCCACCTTTTTCTAAATTAAAATAATGATCATTTTTTAATTTACCTTTGATGTAAAAGATAAAATTACTTTTAAACATCGCAATATCTTAATTATTCTTTTTTACATTGGCTTCACTTTCACTCACCTGGAAATATGGAGATGACACTACACTCTCAGTCACAACGACAAAGAAATTGATAGTAGATGACGGAACGGCTTACATTGATGGATAAACGAAGTTAGAAATTTATCTAGGAGACCGCATGAATGCAAGGTGAGGCAAACTAGAAGCTACAAATTCAAGTTAAAAAATCACGAATGCGATGTGAGGAAGTTTAAAACTGCAGCTTCTATACAAAGCCATAATAAAGTTGTAGATTCAGGGTGAAGAAGTCTATTCAGACTCGATTACAAAAGTCAAAATTCAAGTGAGGGTTTCTTGAGATTTGATTTAATTTGTTTTGAGCAAATGATTATGTATTTTTCGCGTTACTAATTTATGATACTACATCATTAATATACTACGGTATATCAATTATAAACAAGTTTATGTTTGATTGTCTGATTATGTTAATTTATAATAGTATATCACTGATATACTATTTTACATCACTAATATATAAGCCATATTCATGAAATGTACTAATTTGTTTATTATTGATATATAGCTGTATATCAATGATATAATATCACAAATCAATGATAGAGTTTTCTTTTTAATATCTAATAATTTGCTTTGTAATATCTGGGAAAAACAAAGAGGGACAGGGAGGAAAAGCTCTGTAATAAAGATAGTGATCCAGGCAAATTAAATCAAAAATTCTAATAAAAAAAGCATTGTACAAGAAATGGATATGATGACCTAAGAAAATCATATCCAAATTTTTGATGAAGAAAATATTTAGAGATAATAAATGAGAGAGGGAGCACACACAGTATCCAATCGGTTAAAGATTAGTTAAATCAAATATATTTTATTTTAATAATAAATTTATTTTGAGGATAAAAAAGAAAAAACACATTTAATTAATTTTATGAATGGGTCATATTTTAAAATATTTAAAAACTTTATCTATAATTTATGAGAGTTGTATCTTTGGAGGTTATGGAATTGATTTTCTCTCAAAAAAAAAGGGAACGCTTATTTTACTTTAAAAAATATATTTATAATCTTTATAGTTTTCTTAAATTTTGAATCATATTCTTACCCTTGTAAGTTACTCTATTTTTAATTAAATCCCTATAATTTGATTAATTAAATTCTTTAATCCCTGAAAATTAGATTTTTTCGATTTTTTTCTTTAAAAAACAAAATAAAAAATTTTATATTTTTATTAAATGATTATATAATTTTAGAGCTAGTTTCATAATTTTTATAACTTAAATTTTATATAATTAGATTGTCTTTTAAATTTTTGTTATACTCATAGAATTTTCATAAAAAAAATAATAAAAATGTAAACAATGCATTAAATTAATTTTTCCCTATTCTAGCTAAAAGAGTTGGATTAAATTTTCTACAAACTACAAGAGTGCTTTTTTCAGAAATTTAATACTTTATCCATTAAAGAATGTAAAGTAATTTTAATCGAATCTCACCTTAATAAAGATAAAAAATGAGCGAGCCACGGTGGTCCTTGCCCGTATGGGCTCAGCCGATATAGATCCAATCCTGAAAGCTTGGTTTTCCAAATTTTAACCAAAATCTTGAAGCCCGACTCTTATAAAGGCTCAGGGCCTAACCCTTAAACTTGATTTAAAAAAAATAAAAAAATAAACACTATAATTTAATTATAATATTCTAAAATTTAACATAGAATAAATCAAGGTCTCGCATCATCTTTTAAAAAATACATAAAACATTTAAAAGATTCTTTTAAATTTAAAATGAAGATAAAAATATTCATCAACCTAATTCTAAATTTTTATTATCATCATCTAAAATAAATCCCTCATATATATATTCACTTGATAAAGATGACGATAGAGGTTCATTATCAACTATCTTTGTAACTCTTTCTTCATGGCATAATCAAGATCAGAAATGAAATATCAAAGTACAAACATACAGCATCAAAGTTAAATGCTGTCAAGATTCAAAATGAAGGTCTAGAAGTAATTAAAAAAAATAGTGCAAGTCAAGCCCAAGAGATCACGCAGGTCATAAATCACAAAGACAAGGTGTAATACAACCTATTGATGACAGCGTGCATCAAATTAAAGTATCAAACCACTGTAAACACTAGTGAGATTTTGATATATGCTCAACCTATGAAGCCGAGAATCGAGAAGAAAATGGATAAAAATAGAAGAAATTAAACTCGGTAAAAGTCAAAAATTAGATATTAGAGCACCCCACAATGAGAATTGGAGATCACGAGACAACCGCCCAGCCACCCGCGACAAGAATTATACTGGGCAGCGGCCAACTAACACCCATGATAAGACAATCGCGCACGGTGATACTGAGCAGCGATGGGAGGGAGAGCAGCTTGCAAGAGACACGAGGTAGAGTAGACAGTCAAGAGAAGAAGAGAAGGCAAAGGCAAGAGTAGATCAATAGGAGAGTCGACAAAGTTGAGAGGCAAAGCCTGAATGTTGGAGAGTAGAGAAGGCGGCTTTGAGTTTTTCCCCTTTTTCAAACAATGCGTTTCGGGGATACGAGCTTTTTCTCGGGGGGGGGGGGGGGGGGGAAGAGAATTGAGCTTAGAGAGCCCCCTAAGTCCGGACATGTTTTTTTAAGATTTATTAAGGTAAAGCCACAAAGTCCCAATACCTTAAAAATCACAATTTCTAAAACCGAAGCCTTTATTCTCAACGTGGTTTAACGGGCAATTCTCTGGAACCTATTCTTGTTCTTGACTCCATACCCCTGATAAAATAATTAATTGTTTTTAAGGTAAATGTAAAATAATTTATTTATTATGCACACTTTAAAAAAATATAATGATTATATCTTAAAATATTAAAAATATTTTACATATTTTAATATCAAACCTCTCAAAAAAAATGTATTATATTTTTTAATAGAGAGAGTAATTTTTTTATTAATTTTAATTTTTCAATTATTAACATATTTAACAAATCAAACTATATGAACTTCATAACAATAAAATAAATTACAGAGATCCAATTTAAAATTTAAAAAAACTATAAGGACTTGTAGATTAATTTTATAGTTGGGGTAAACAGAAAAACACAAATATGGTGTTCAAATTTTAGTTACGTTTATTTTGAAATTGACTAACTCAGATTATCATTCAAACTCAAATCTTTACGTGATCTCGTGGGAAAAAAAATCTTACGTGATCTTAAAAATTACTGCAGTATCATAGAGCAAGTCGCAGTAATGTTTTTATAGCTTGTTTTGCCAAATTGTTTTATAGTTCGATAAATAATAAATAACTAATCAAGAAGTATTTATCTAATACCCCCCATAAGAATATTCCTTCCCCTTTTTTCTGCCGAGAAAAGGCTATTGTTCCACATTTTTTATTCTCAAAGAAAATGGTGACCCTTCTTCGGTTCTTCCAAAAAAAAAAAAAAAGGTAACACACGTACCGCACACCCATCTCTGCGTGGCAAGGGAAGTGCTACTTGCAACTTCGCTTTTTTAAGAGAATATGGTGCTATTGTTCCACGAAAGTTCGCCCATATTAAAAAAAAAAAAAGTTACACTTTTTTTTTTGCCAACAATGTTAAAAAAATTTTGCACTGACAATTATCGAACAGTGAGATATTGGAGCATTTATTAAAAAAAAAATATCGAACTGTGATTTACACGAATAAATGCGGTGACTAATTTAAAGGTCATTGCCAATATCAAGTCAAAGGGACCCCACCACTCCGATGACGACATAATCATTGATGACTATCCGAATTTTTTTCTCTTGCATTTTGAGTATCAAAAATGAACGAAAAATAATGACCATGTCGGTTTTAGATTACTTGTCACGCTGTTTGGCTTCAAGTGGAACTCTCATCTCTTGCAAAAGATCCTATAAAAAGTTAAAAAACAGTCCGAGCTTTTATAGTGCAAACCCTGGGACAAGGAAAGCAACGAAGAAGCCTTTTTGGTCTTTACAATGAAAATGGTAAAGAAAATCATGAACTTATGCATGAATAAATTGATCATTTAACCTTTCTTAAAGCAAATTATCCAAAATGGAGATTTATGAATTTTTTGTGATTTTTTAAAATATTTTTCTTACTTATTTATTTCATAAAACACAAAAATTTCTCCTTCATTTTTTTTAAAAATAAAACACTATTAAATTTATATATTCAATTTCAGAATATCCATTTCTTTTAACTCCATTCAACAAATTAAAGACTAAAGCATATCTTTAGTTTTTGACTGCTCACAATGTTGCATTTTTATCTCTTAATCTTATAAAATATTTTTTCAGCCCTTTAATTTTGACACTGATAAATTCATCACAAATTTTTTTTTTCCATTAAATTTTTAAATATTAACAAAATATCTTCAAATGTTAACATATTAAATTTAATTTTTTTAAATAATAATATGTGACATAAAAAATAATTATTTAAAACCAACGGTGCTTTAATTAGGGGACTGAAAAAATATTTTATAAAATTAAAAAACTAAATCAAAATTTTGTTCAAATTATGAAGGCCGCAAGTATACTCTAGTTTAAATTAGATGGGGCTGAGTTTCCAGCTTTGCGCAGAAAAAACGTGGGGCTGGTTAAGTCGCATGCGGGCACTCTATGTATCGTAAATCAAACTGGAAGTGATCCATGTATTTATGCCTTGATACTAAAGTAACATGTAATATTGTAAAAATTAGACAGCGAGGGTTCACTTGCTTGTGCGTATGATCACACAAAGTCCACGAACTGCATTAAAGTCTGAAACTGAAAGTCAGTCGTAGCAGAAAGGGCATGAGCAGGGCCAACCCTAGAAGTACACTTGAGATGATCATCTAACTGGCTCTCGTCTGCACAATTCTTCTCCGATTCTGGACGATGTAAGGCGCCGCAAGAACGAAGAGAAGAAGCGGAAGATGGTGGATTGGAATTCCCGGTTAGCTGCTGCACCAGACTCATAAATTCTTCGGGCTTCACATGAAACACCTTCGGAGATCCCAGATAAATGACCACCGGAGAGGAACACTGCTTCTGATGGTGCTTCTTCGTCATCTTCCTGGAACTCTTGTTCACCATGAGAGGTCCAGCCCTTGGACCCTGCAACTTCATCCTGTTTGCTTCAGATTGCGAATCCATCTCTCTTGTGTCTTGTGATACGATGCTGTCTTTCGAGCTCCTAATTCGTGCTTTATGTAGAGAGGAAAGCAGAGTGAGGATGTCAAGACTTTTTGAGCCTGTGTGAGTGGTGTTAGTTGTCAAAAAAAAAAAAAAAAAAAGACAAGCACTCATGGTCTACCCTGATTTCGTCCATTTTTAGTTTTATATAATCTGAGTTTCGTCTTTTTGTAAAATTTGCCGGCGGCTCGGCTTGGAGAATCGGTGTTCATTCCCCAGTCAAAGTTCACCAGACAGTGATAGTCACGGTCAAAGTCAACCTGTGTGGACATCTTCCTCTTCATGGCCCATTGCTAATATTACACTCCCTCGTGTAAAAAATATAAAATATTTTAAATTAAATTTTATTTTTTAATAAATTATTATTTATCTTTAAATTAACACTATTTTTTTATATTTATCTTTATATAACAAAATATTTTATTTTAAAATAAATATAAAGTGATTATTTAATAAATATATTTAAAAAAAAGACAATAAATATATCTTTAAACATTATATTTTTAAATATTTAATTTTTAAAAAAATATTTTAAATTTTTAAACGGGGAAATATTATGTTTACATATTCTAACGTTAGTAAGTGACCATTCAAAAGCATTGTTCTTCTCTCTCTCTCGAGATTATTCCTCTTCTTTTTGAGAAAGTCAACCGTGGACCTTTTGGTTAAACTTTAGATGTTCAACTCGGACCATATAATAATTTAATGATCTCATTTATTACTCACTTCATAAATTTCACTGAAACAAGTTGTTGCATTCCATAAATTAACAAACCTAATAAAAAATGCAACGTCGGAAGTCAAAATGTTTTATGTCCATTACGGGTGAAAATCCACGTGCTGCATAGCAGATCGATAATTAATTAGGACGAACGACGAAAAGTCAAAACCATGGGAAGGATTCAGATAAATGAATTGATTTAATTTGAACCGTTCAAATTCCATTTTGGCTTTCTTCTTATTATTTGCCATGCATTTTTCAACTCGGGGTAAGTTTGATTGATGACTTGTTCGTATAAAATATATCAACCTGGACACCTACTTTAGCAGCCTCTGCTAAAGTAGGTGTCCCAGTTCGTCCCAGTTCGTCTTTTTGAATCTTTAGCAGCCTCTGCCCCGAGATACTTTTCTTTCAATTATATAAGAAATTGTTCTTCATACTTAACCATCATTAAAAATATTCAAGCATAATTTTTTTTTCATGGATTAATGCTTTGTTTTTTGCATTCATTGGCGTTCGAGGTGAATATAATGTAAATGTTATGATATTGACTTTCATCATGGAGAATTTTTCCACGACTGTAAATATCAATGCAGCCACAGATAAGATGTCCCGACTCGAGAGAGGACCAAAAAAGACGGAGATGAAGGAAACAGCGATAAAATAAGTAAAGAATTAATAGTAGAGTCAAAACTTAGAATCTCAATATATTGACTTTTAGAGATAGAAATGGGTCCATGGATCTGCTCGTAATGTATAATTATAATTAATTAAAAGATAAGACAAAAGTATATCATGTGTACGCTAGAAATGTAGAAACATGGGTTAAAAAAAGTAAGTCACGTAGGAAGATTTACTACTAAATATTGGGGGGTAGTTAATACATGTTATACGCACATAAATACATAGTTCAAGCATAATTATTTAAATGCTTGAGATCGGCCTCTATTTAATTATTTATAACAACTCCATGTGCATGCAACTTTAATTTGTTCGACCTCTAAAAATGAGTGTCCTGCAAATTATCAATAGAGTTAAAAAATGAGCTGCACTATTTGTCAATCAACAAATTGAAAATTTTGAACCCCTAAAATTTACTATATATTATACATAGATTATTTAAAAGTATTTCGAGCATGCAACAAACTCGATATTTTTTTTAAATAACAAATATATTGAGTCGTATTTGCCATTTGGTAACAGGCGAAACGAATTCATATACACGATTTGTTCCCATATAGCTTAAACTTTTTATATTCAGACCCAATAGCAGAAACAAAAATTTTACGTGCGAGGTTATTTTGCGTATAAAATCATAAAATGCTGAATTCTTGGCATGCTAGTCGTGACAACATTTTTTTCTTTCTTCAATTATTCCTATTAGAAAATTAAAAGGGGAAAATTTTTCGTTCTTCTCCAAATATCAGATTTCATGTCAACGATTATCCTTCTCATTGATTCCGTTTTGATATAATTGTCGAACCGATTCATACATTGTGCAGATCATGGAGCTCGACTGAATGCGAGCATTAATGTTCAGGTGCAATCAGGTTATCCAGAATCAATGAGGTTTTCTTGGACGGAATTGTCTATTCTAAGTCCCCGATTTTAACGTCAATGGAATCATCGGAGATCAATCTGCGCATTGGTTTTCACGAAAGGCCGTGGAGGAGAACACTGCGAAGGGTATAATTTGATGGGCAACGTCTGCGTGGGGCCTAACCTTGGGAATGGGTTCTTGCAATCGATCACATCCGCTTTCAAGAAAACCCCGCCGCAGGAGGGCAGGCTTCCGGCTCCTAACGCCGACAACAACAATAAAAGCGCGGAAAATGCTGCGCCTGATTCATCCAAAGATTCTGATGCTCCAAAGCAAGTTCAAAGTACACCACCTGAATTGGTGAAAATTCCCAGCGATGAAAAACTTAAACCACCGCCAGAACCCGAAAAGCCTGCTGAACCTGAGGTCCATGAACCTACCGGCGGCACTGCTCATGCTGGGAAAGCTGAAAAGCCTGCCAAGCCGGAGATGGTCAATCACCCTGCTTCTAACAATGCTGCCGATGCCGGGGAATCTGAAAAGCCAGTCAAGCTGGAGGTGGTCAACGAAGCTGCCTCTAATAATACCACGAATGCTGGCGAAACTACGAAACCTACTCATGTTAAAAGGGCATCGAGCATGGGACTTCGAATAGAATCGGTCTTAGGGAGGAAAACTGAGAATATAAAGGATCTTTATAGTCTGGGGCGAAAGCTAGGACAAGGGCAGTTTGGGACAACATACTACTGTCTAGAGAAGGCGACTGGCAAAGAGTTTGCTTGTAAATCCATTCTTAAGAGAAAACTGAACACACAAGAGGACGTAGACGATGTCAGAAGGGAGATTCAGATAATGCACCATTTGGCTGGTCATCCCAATGTGATTCAGATAATCGGTGCTTATGAGGATGCTGTAGCTGTTCATGTCGTTATGGAACTCTGTGCTGGTGGAGAGCTTTTTGACAGGATCATACAGAGAGGGCACTACACTGAGAAAAGGGCGGCCGAGCTTGCAAGGGTAATAGTTGGTGTCGTGGAGGCATTCCATTCTATGGGCGTCATGCATCGGGACTTGAAGCCAGAAAACTTTCTGTTCGTCAACCAAGAGGAAGAGGCACAACTTAAGACAATAGATTTCGGGCTCTCGGTGTTCTTCAGACCAGGTATATCCATCTCTTCATTGACCCTAGTTATTCATTCTTCTTGATTTATTTCTATGCAGCCATTGTAGTTGGACTTGATCAGTTATTTGTATCTTTATTGAGCTAACCGTATCGATTTTTTTATAGTTATTTTTATCCACTGCGAACAAAGACAAACAGGGACAACTACTTCATTGGCCTTTGCCGTTGCCAACCCTCAACAATAGAACATTTCTCCTGTTTCAATTTTCGCTAAATCAATGAAAAGAAGACGCTAGATTGCAAACAAAAAATAACTAAATATCATTTTTCTTTCGTGGGGCCATTAGCACACTCACTTATCTATTCTAATAAACTAATCGTTTCAAATGTCCTCCTTGACTCTTTCCCTCAAGTGCGACAGACAGTCACTGCTTTTAGCTGTTTGGTGCGCTTATGCTGAATCGAATGTTTCCTTACTTCAGATTGAGAAACATATTGAACTTTCAGGTGAATCATTTACCGATGTGGTTGGGAGCCCCTATTATGTGGCCCCTGAAGTTTTACGGAAGTTCTATGGTCAAGAATGTGACGTCTGGAGTGCAGGGGTGATCATTTATATTTTACTGAGTGGAGTTCCCCCATTTTGGGACGGTAAGAATGCTATGCCACCTACTCTGCCCTGTTAACTCCATTGCTATGTCAGTTTGTCGTTTGTTAGGTTGTATTAAGTTCATGTCAATTCCTGAAGTTCCTTTTTTGGATCAGAGACGGAGCTAGGCATATTTGACCAAGTTTTAAAAGGAGAACTTGACCTTGTCTCTGAACCATGGCCCAGCATATCTGCAAGTGCAAAGGATCTTCTTCGAAAAATGCTTGTAAGAGACCCTAAGAAGCGACTATCGGCACGTGAAGTTCTTAGTGAGTAACCATGCCTCTGTGTTGCCATACGAATTGATCTAGAGTGCAGCTTGTGATAGTTTTCATTCCTTTCTTATCATCACAGACCAGTTTGATCTTTCATGTATGATGTAATTCATCTGGTTATACAGGATTATTTAACTTAGACGATCATAAATATACAACATCAAATTATGTTGATAGTAACTCATTTGCATGCTCTTACGCTGCATATTATAAACGGAGAGGTCTTCTATTTTTAAATAGAAGAATATTCCCAGTTGTTTGCACCGTTGCGACTCTTATCTGAATATTCTCAATAATTACCATTAATTTCTGTTCTGTTTGAAAGATATGCATCTTCAGCTTTGAATAATAGGTGCAATAATTCAAGCTTGTGATTATATGCAGGCCATCCTTGGTTCCAGACTGAAGGTTTTGCTCTTGATAAACCTCTTGATTCTGTTGTTTTAACTCGTTTGAAGCATTTCTCTGCCAGGAATAACAAGCTCAAAAAAATGGCCTTCCGGGTAGGTACCCGCTGGCTATCTAAAGACTACACTTGTCTGATGTTCCACCTGGAAATCTTGAAAATAATCCTGTGTATTTGCTATGATGCTGTTCAGTGTAGATGTGTGGAGTATTGTTTGCACTTGAAAGAAATCCCAGAATCACGAGTACAGTTTTATTTACGCTCAAGATACTGTGACATCTTTAAGTTGAACTATGCTTTTCTAGAGAAGTTTTACTGAAACTGTGATTGATCATATTTTCCTGATTGCTTAAAGTCTTTATCGTTTGAAGAATAGAGCAGACACAAGGTTGTTACTTTATTTATTTATTTACTTATTTTCAATTTGGGACGAAGTGAGAGACAGGTGCTCTGTTCGATAAATGATAGCTATTAGCGACCCTTGGGCTTGGGGTATCATGTCACAAAACTTGTTTGTGTTTTGAATTGTCTTCTTAGCAGTTGTACTACTAATGCTCACTTAGTTGTTTAACATTTGGTAGAATAGTGTTTCCAGCTCAAGTTCCTTGGAGATTATTCTGACCGTTGTTTTAACCCCTATGTTGTTATTTGCATGATATATTATATGACTTCGGGGAATTATTCTTTGACAACAGGTGATTGCTGAAAGTCTGTCGGAGGATGAAATTGCTGGGTTGAAAGAAATGTTCAAGATGATAGACACAGATAATAGTGGACACATCACTCTTGATGAGCTGAAAGTTGGATTGGAGAGAGTGGGTGCTTTCCTTAAGGATTCTGAAATTAACCAGTTAATGCAATCGGTGAGCGTTGGCATGAAATTCAAATTACCATCTGTATTTAACCATGTTCGTTGTTCAACAAGGATTGGCCCGAATTCCATCTATAATAATTAAGGCTGCTTGTTTCTTTTAAACTTCAGGCAGACACTGACAATAGCGGTACAATAGACTATGGTGAATTCATCGCAGCTATGCTTCATGAAAACAAGGTCCAACAGGAGGATCGTCTATATACTGCCTTCTCCTATTTTGACAAAGATGGTAGTGGGTATATTACGCGAGATGAGCTCCAGCAAGCGTGTCAACAGTTTGGTCTGCAAGATGTTCAATTAGATGATATAATTCGCGAAGTTGACCAGGATAATGTAACATGTTTAATTTCCAATGGTTTTCTACGGTTCCTTTTCCACTTCTCCCGCCCCCAACAAAGAAAAACATCGTGGATGTTTCATTTTCTAAATATAACTTCAAACTTGTTTTATGCTTTCATATCTGTTTTCAGGATGGGCGCATTGATTATAATGAGTTTGTTGCAATGATGCAAGACTCTGGTTTAAGCAAAAAGGGACTGCAAAATATCACTGAGTAGGGTTGCGGATGTCGCCGAGCATTAATTAGTATGTGTAAGCTATGCCATGCGATTACTCGATAGATATCTTTCAGCTAGCACCCTCTCTTCCCCTGGGTAGATTATGTAAGATCAGACCCGTGTATAAAGTGGGGAGGCGGATGGATAATCTGCCAAGTAGTATTTTTCTAGTGATTAAAAACGTGATCTTTTGGTGGATATATTTCTAGAGCATTAGATAACGGTTTTCTTTTTCCTCTGAATTTTGGCCTTTTTTCCTCTGAGGCGGCCAGTTGGGGTGGTGTTAATTGTTAAACATCAATGAATATAATAAGGATTTGTCAACATGTACTTATACCATTTTGTCAGTCAGGCTCAAACTATGCAGCCTTTGCAGCCTATCCTGTTGTAAATGGCTCAATTGGTGTATTAATAATATTTCATATTCTTGAGGCACACTGCATGCACTCTAATCATTTTCTTTTTCTTCCTTTTGTTTTCCTGATGATTTCTAATCAATCCCCGTTTTCAGCTTGTGATGCCACTGCTCAGTTTGATAAGTGTTAGCTCTAAGGATTTGTCAACACGTATTTATGCCATTTTTGTCAGTCAGGTTCCAACCGTGTAGAGTTTGTAGCCTGTCCTGTTGTATCAACTCGATCTGTTAAATGTTTCTGATTCTTCTTCTTCTTCTTTTAGGAATAAACAACATATTCATTGATTGATTTCTTTCAACAGGTTCATTATCCCTAGCATTTACTTTGCCCACAAGAACTATGTTCTCGACTTTTTATGTTTGTAAGAGATTAACTGCGACTCTGTATTCTGCGACTCTCCTGTTGCATGAATTGTTAAATTATCAGTATTAACAAAAAATAAAGAAGTCTCGAGTTCAGTTTTCTCCTTATTACGAGATTATAGAAAATTCTTGTTATTATGATATTTATGCGTGAATTAGCCATATACATTTTTTTATTACCCCATACTACCTCTCTTGCCACCAAAAAAAAAAGGAACAAATAAATCAAACTTAAATTCTTATTTACATGTATGGATCATTGCATCTAATCAATATACTCAAAATACCTCAGTATTTACAAATCATGGATTGACATGATGTGATTTTTTAGACTTGCCATGGTACAAAGCATTATCCACGTTAGTTAACTGATATAATTTAATGAGGAGCTACTGAGTGAGTAGTGGATTATGAATATGAAACAGGAGTCAACCTGTAAGCAGTGCTACTAGCTAGGTGTGACCTGTTAATTAAAACAGCTAAACATACATGCAAATGAGTTGACTAATGAGACGAAGAAATTAAAGGCGACATGATCCATGAAACCAATGGCCTAAAAGCACACGGAACTCCAAAGAGAAAGAGAAAAGTGAAGAGCCCATGCAATAATGGAATATTAATTAAAGGGGCCGTTAGAACAATGTATGTGGTAGGCTTGATGACCAATTAACGAACCGTGTGCAGGATCCAGTAGCATATGCATGCATGAGCAATGATAGTAACCGTAATGGTTTATTCCTCACGTGCAAGCAATAGAGACACACAAAAGTGCTGATGAATCATGCAGTGCACCTGCTTAACCTAATCTCTGGTTATATATGAACCAGCAACGTGTAACCAGGCAAAACTGGAGTTCCATACATATCATTGGCTTTTTATCAACCCTTTCTCTTTTTACGCGTTGTCCACAGTGTGCGAGTGTCCTAAGCACATGACACTGCAACTAACACTCACCATCTTTTTCCCCATTAATTGCATTTTACGCGCTCGCTAACGTTGACCCTTTCCTCCTTTTAAGTTTTAACTACTGGCGATGGATTTATCATATCTCTCATTCTTAAAAAAAAACGAAAGAAAGAAAGAAACAAACAAACAAACAAACAAACAAACAACAAAGAAATAAAGCTCTCTCTCCTGTCAGTCTCGTCGGTCTCTGCCATTCCATGGTGCAAATATATATATATTGAACGAATATAACTAAAGCGTGTCCCCTACAGGGATTAAGAAGGCAGAAAATGCTATTAACAGGAAGTTTTACACAAAAATGGACTAAAAATTTATACAGAGGAGTGACGGATCGTCCAGCCAAGTGGGGTGGTGGATAAGGGATTGAGGTTGAGTTATGCCTTTTGGATGATTGATGCGGGCCCTGTTTTCATGTCTTGTGATGGACCAACAGCTGGATTCTTCTGTCTTTTACCCTTCTCTTCTCTTTAGACTTTAGCAATCCCTCTTTTTCTATATCTTGAATTCTTGATTTCAATCGAAATGATCATAACTCGAATTTCACCGGGACTAACTTTTATTTGTTCATTTTTCTATATCTTTTATATCCTTTTATTGCGTAGAATTATCGTCCATCCGCGGACAATTTATGGATATATAACTATTAAAAAGAAAAAATTGTGCAGTGGATCATTGGATATTATATAGAATGGGTGAAATTGGTGTGCCTAATCAGCACCAGCGCATGCTTCTCAAAATTCTATTGTGAAAATGATATAAAATCAAGAAAAGATGGGAACGCGTCTCAGTTAGGTCCACGTGGAAGGCAGCCCGAGAAGGCGCGGCCCTCTTGTGGCCACGTGTCGGGGGGTAATCCCAGGTGTCGTCAGTGGATTATGGACGACACACGTGGCCAACGACGAGGGATAGGATCCATCCTCATTTAGTCATTTTGCATTGGACGCGTGCTTTTCTAATTTTCTTTCCGCTTTGCATGCACAGATAATGAAATGATAATTTATTTAGGACATTCAATTAGGGAAAATAGGGATTTTGGAAATAGCACTGACACTGAGAGTGGGTGGACCAGACTGAGACGCACTGTCCGTCGCCATCACGTCCCTGTCACGTGAGCTTCCCCCCCACTCAGGGCACCGCCCCCTACCGTGTACTCGCATTTAGATTTCTTCCATCCTTAATTATTGCATCATCATCATTAATTAATAATTGAGCTCCAATCCTCCAACCTCGACCCACGACTCTCCATGTCTAAGATCCATGATCATGACAATTTTCATCTTAAATCGGATCTCAGTGAAGAAGTGATAATACATTTTGACCGCTGTATTTAATCTAATTAATAATCAGAAGTTAAGTAAAATGCTCCTGCGGCAATAATATTGGGAGAATTAAAAGAACGTGGAGCAAAGGAGGGACACGTGGCGAGTCGTGGCGGAGAGTGGGGGGCCAACCACGAGGCACCAGCATAGCAAAAGACAGTTGAGGGTCAGACAGCTTCTTTTTCGTCAGGAACCACCAAACATCTCCTTTTGGCACCCACTCTTCAGTCCACCGCTCATTTCTTCCCCTTCTCAATTTACTTGATTGCCCTTTCTAACCTACCTCTCATTCACGAATTCGCAGCCTCCCCTTTAATGTTTAATCATTATAATTAACATGTTAACCACGTTTGATTATTTGCACGCTATATATTTTTATACGCCACATAAGTAGGTGTTGCATCAATCTGCTATATTAGTGATAATATATTTTTTTTAGATTCAAATCTTCTAAAGTTAAAATTGGTGAATTTGGATGAAGTTTTAATTTTTTTTTAGTATTTTTATTCATTTTATTACTTTCTATAAAATATAAAATTTTTAATCTCTTTTTTTAAAAGGAAAAATTTGCGTAAATTAACTAATATCAAATTTAAAAGATTTAAATCCTATTTTTTTTACGTTCACTTGTTAAACTATTATTGAAAAGTGTCAGCACCTTACCTGCAAAATCAATGGATTATCGGCGTACTATTTAGCTATTATCAAAATTTTGAATCAATAGTCGTTGCCTTAACAGAGGGAAACAAAAAATAGGGACGATCCATATAATCTGCTCACGTCAATCGTCTTTAACGGTTAAAAAGATCGCCTTTATATAAATTCCAGTTCGTTGGGGGGGGGGGTAATTTGGTTTTTTTCTTCTCGCTAAACGCCAAAATAATATGGGATCTATACGCACAAGTATGAATTATTTGGAGGCATTCGAAGAAAATTACTGTATAGCGACAAAACATAGAGTCAATTTAATTTGCTCAAATCATCTCTGAAAAATTGGGAATGATGCGTGTACGCATCGGTATTCCTATACAGGCCAGCAATAATCTTTTCTGTGAAAAGCATCAGCTATATATATGTATATCGCTATAAGTGATGAGTAAGTTGATACACATGCTTGTCAACCAAAATGTGGGGTACTTTGTTACGGAAAGTTTGAGAATTAATGTCTATATTGATATACACACTAGCGGTACCTGCTGTGATACTTTGAATTATATTCCCCCAAGAGCTGGTACAAGAACTTAACGACAGCCCTATGTTTTGGATGTTTGTGGCATTAAAGCTGAAGCGAGGTTCCAAGAAATTTCGCGAAGTGAAATGATGAGCACAATGGACGATGGAATTCAATTCACCGTCATTTACAATGGCGGAAAAAGAATGGATGAGGACGAAGAAGGCTGAGGAAAGGATGTCGTCAGGGTTTTTTTTTCCTGGAACAGCTAGTTAACAGGAACAGGCACTTTGCGATAGCCCTAATCCAGAATCAAAACTCACACATCTATATCGCATGCAAAACTCCAAAGTTCATAAAAGCCTTCCCTCTTGGACAGGTAATCTCGGATTTGAAAGTCCAGGCCTCTCTCGATCGTCTGCTTATTAGCTTCAAACATGCAGGGCCCTTCATTTGCCGGCACATGAGCCACAAGCCGCCCTCGCATAAGGTTCAAACTCTTCATTAATACCAAAAGTTTCAAGCTCCAAAGTCCAGCTCTCTCGACGTCTTAAATCCCAATAAACACCCATTCTTGCATGCAAAATGAGTAAATTGTTCGGCTGTAGCCACGTGTACGGTCATGATGACCGTCTCATGTGAAGGCCTTGCATAGCCATGGGTCCCTCACATGTAGAAGTTTAATCATATCACATGTTCATTCTTTTTTAGATCCACATTCTATAATTTGCTCTGTTGTTTTGCGACGTAAGGAATGAAATAGAGACAATCTTTCAATAATTGTGCTGATAAAAAGTGACGTTTTAATTTAAAAGAAATATTAAAAAAATCTAAAGTAAGTAAATTGGCTGTCAAAATTCATATCTTTAAAAGTCGAACTCGTAATATTCATCATACTTTTTCTGGATTACAATATAAGTAGCTTTTTAAAAACATTTCTTGTTTCAATATATGACATTGGGTGCTATATTTTACGTTTGTTTTTTCCATTTAAGCCATTGCTTTTTTTATTCCTTATCTTTAAATGTTCTATATTTAAAGATTATCCACGTATCATTAAAAACTATTAAAAGAGTATAAATGAAAAAATATTGATATTTTTTTAAAATTAAAGCTTAAACTAATATCTTTATAAATTCTAAATTAATTAACAATAATTCATATTGCGAACGGGGAGGGAGTAAATACAACAAGTTCGTCATAAAGAATATTTTGGACTCCCAACCCATACGTTTGATGTACGTGTTGATGTGTCAGATCAGAAGTCCACTTCTCATCGCGAAGATGCAATTATTAATTATATGAGAAACGCCACTGCTTCGGCACCATTTAACGAAGAAACATTATTTCTAACATGTATATACAACATATATTAAGAAAATTTAACTTTTTTTTTTCAAATCTAATGAAAAATTACCCCGTATAAGTACTGGTAAAAATGAAAAAATGTTTCTTAATTAAAATTACACATGCCCTGAATTATTTTAAATTTTAAACTAATAATAATAACTTGAAAAAAATATCCTACCTTATTGAGCAGAGGATTATTGGTTAGTAAATCAAAGGGTAATATGGTAACTTCGCTCGGCTTAGATTTAGTTACCCCTTTATAAGGGGGGATGCTCCACGGGATGGGGCAAAGATTATTTGAGCTGGCCTTTAGAAACACACATCACATAGGAATACAAGCTTTTCTCTCTCGAGGTCCTGTCTTCTACTTTGGTCTGAAACGGTAAGGATCGATGAATTCTCAATGACATTTCTCGTAAACTGCTTCAAAGTTTTCTCTCTTTCAATCGGCGCGCGCATATCTTTTCTCACTGATTAATGTATATTGTGGCCATCTATATTCTTGCAGTATCCTGGAGTACATTTTTGGTTCTCCTGGTCTCTTCTCCTGCTAATTTCATCATTATCCTTCTCTTCAGATTTTATATACATAGAGTAACAGAGCAACGTTCATGTGATCATATCCTTCCTTCCTCGTCTCCATCTTGCATAATTTGTCATCCAGAGAAAATAATGATGATAATAAAAAATCATAGTTATTTTCTGGTATGGATATATCTCATCAGCTCACATATATTTATAAATATTTGCTGTAAAGTTATACTCGCGCAAACACACACCTGTAAGTGTGCGTGTGTGCATAACATACATGCGGCATTCTGGAATGTGGAGTGAATTGTGTAAAGAGATTTCAGATTTGGTGGTGACAGGCGGGAGTGGTGATGATGGAGAAAGCAAATACGTGCGGGGGGCTCGCAAGAACGAAATCGGATCAGCTGGCGGAGGCTTTGAAGTCGCAATTGTCGAGTGAATCGATGGGATTGGTAGAACAAGGCATCACCGGGAGCGGAGCAACGCCGTCGAGGAAGTCGAGTAGGCGGATGACGGGGGTGTCGCCGGGGAGGAGCGGAGGAGGGAAGAACACGCACATGAGGAAGACGAGGAGCGCTCAGCTGAAGTTCGAGGTGGACGAGGTCAGCAGCGGCGCGGCTCTGAGCCGAGCTTCGAGTGCCAGCCTGGGCCTCTCATTCTCCTTCACCGGCTTCACCATCCCTCCCGACGAAATCGCCGATTCCAAGCCCTTCAGCGACGACGATATCCGTATGTTCCTCTCTCTCCTCTCATCACATCACTTGTGCGTGCGTGCGTGCGTGCGTGCGTAGTTCATTAGTATAGACGTATTCATATGTTATTCATGTTTTCTTTTAGTCATACATTGCATGGACAGAGACATATGGCCTTGGTTTAACTAAGATTGGTATGCAGTAACAGAACTGGAGTTTGAAATTAGTATTATTTCTTGTTCTTATCGAGTCGAGTAAAACTATACGCGCAGAGTTCAAGCTGGTGTTCCTGGAGAAATTAATTAAAGCTCAGAGTTTCGTAGGGTCTTTCAAGAATTTAAACATTGCACGGGTTTCATTTGGGGGGGGGGGGGAGATGCGAGTGAGATTAGCAGCATGCCAGAGAAGCATATATTTAATTAGGAGAGGTGAACGAGAGAAGGAAAAGCTAGATATTAAATGCTTGAATAAAGGGTGCATGGTGTGGGTTTATTATGAAAATTATATATTTATGCATGGTGAGCATGAAAGAGAGAGAGATGATCAGAGGAAGTGAGGGCAATTTGCAAAAGAAGCCAAGTCAACAGGGGACAGGAAAGTACCGTCCCTAGCGGTACGTGTCCGTGACTCTGTTGCGTGCCAAACCATGAGGCCACCCTAGTTAGGCTCCAAATCAAAGACGGCTTCCATTTTGTATGCATACACTTTGCTATGAGTTGCAATAGTGTAAAAATATCCGGAGAATACAAAATGTATAATAAAATATACTTTCTCTTCTCTACAATATAAATCATTATTAATTAACTCATGATTTAAAAAAAAGGTTATTAGTCTTAATTTCTTAAAATGTTCATATTTTGTTATCGTCCTTCCAGAATTCTTAACAACACGTGGATGATTTAGAAACAAAAAAAATAAGGGTCTCAGTGAAAGACAAATATAAAATTTATTCAATATCTTATATTTTAAATCAAGAAATATTTATAAGAAAATAGCTTGTATCGTGATTGAGGAAGAATCAAGAAGAGTAAAGTTCATAACAGAGGGCAAAATCTTGGGTGGCTGGGAGAGTGGGAGGGCAGGCAATAAAAGTTGGAGTCGGGTGCAAGTGGTACCCAAAAACCCGTGACGTGATTAAGGACCAAACAATGAGTGACTCCTGCTCTTTCCCACCTCCTCAAGCTTCAACACAGTACTCCTTTCTTCCTCTCCCATTCCGCCCCCCCCCCCCAACTTTCCTTCTCTTCTTAGCTTCATCAGGACCAATCCACAATTTGATGAGTGAGGACTAACTTGGAAACAAAATATACAATGGGAGCCTGCCGTCTATTTTTAACTTTTTTATGAGCAAAAATTCCTTTTTTGCCCCCAAGAGCATTTGATAATGTATAGGGGCAAGTTCTCCCTCAGATTCGTTACAACCTAATATAAATCGTCACAGCCCGATTTATATTTTTATCCATCTCTTTTGTCTTTTCTAAAATTAATTACATTTAACTTATAAAACTGTCCATTTTCATAAATTTTTATATTTATATTAATATATTGGTGATAATGTATCATGTAAATGTTGATTATATTAATTCTTTAAAAAAATTAATCTTTTAATCCTTCAATTTTTAACTCACCCGTAACTCAGTCCTTCAACTATGACTCGTTGTGATTTAATCCCTTAATTTTTGTCTCACTTATAACTAGGTATTTATTTTTTATGTTTTTAAATTTTCTTATCAAATAAAAGAAATAAAAGAAATGTTTATATTTTGCTATAAAATACTCTCATCTTGCTTTTTGATGTGAGATCTAAATTAATATAAAAAAATAGAGTTAACAAAAGTTGAGAGGTTAAATTAAAAGTGAGTCAAAGGTTGAAGATTGAGTTATAGGCAAGTTATAATTGAGAGATTGAGTCACAGTGAGTCATAGTTGAAAAACTGAATTATAAATAAATTAAAAAGTTGGAGGATTAAAGAATTATTTTTTTAATTCTTTTATAGATAAGTGCCTCTTCTCCCGGTACAGTTCTCACCAACAGAACTTTAAATTTATCAGCCCTTTGGTATATTTGATGGAAAGACAACTCTCGTTTTCCATCTTGTATCTAGTATCCATGATATAGGATTTAAATTCTTTGAAGTTGTGATTGGTAAATTTTTGTTAAGTTTTTCTTTTTAAGAATTAGAGATAAGATTTTATATTTTTAAAAAATAATAAAACGAGTGAAAGTATTAAAAAAAAGAAAACTTTATGTAAACTCAAAAATCACAATTTCAGAGAATTTAAATTCTTCAACAATATTTATTAGAATCGTTGTTCAGTGATTTTTATTTTTTTTATTTTCATTCTAAAACTAAGAGGAAAAAATTATTTCTCGTTCTTAAAATTATTTCTATTTTTTATTCCATTTTTTCACCTTGGATTTTAGGAACCGGTGTAATCAGTTGTTAAAAAAAAAAAGATGAGGTTGGACTGTAAGTAGTGAAGATTTGTTGCCAACTTTATATTTTATGTTAACATTGTTTTTTGACCTATTTCTAATACTATTTACAATTTGTAAACATCGATAGTCCAAGACTTATTTTTCTCAAGGTCAAGAAATAAAAGACTTAATTTTCAGACTACCGGTAAGCCCATGGAGCCCACATTTCGATAACCTGTGGATGAAGCGGGTAATTGAGTTCGTGGTTGACTTTTTAATTCCATGGGGTGACTCGCGGCTAATTATGAGGCCACTATCGGACAAGGAAAAAAAATGAGGTCACCATCTCATGAGAATATTTTTATCGATAAATAAGGAATCATGGTATGTATGGAAGTTTAATATGGATGGTCGTACTCCATGCATACCAATACATATATTCTTGTATATATAATTTTAAATTTTTAAATAAATAAAAAGGCGAGTATCAGTTCAAAGGTTGATCGCATATCGAGTGTCTATCATTTGAACAGCAGGATTTATTTATGTCACAATGCAGATCAAAGTCCTGTTATTACAGAAAACTCAACAAAACTTGACCATATTAAATTTATATGTTACTGTGTTGACTTGGACTCGTCTAATTTGTGAACATGATCATGAGAACAATTCTCCTTCTAGCCAGATTACCATTTACAACCGTGTGGGGCACACGACCCATTTAATTGGATATGGTCCTAAACCATGAATAGGCCTCACAACATTTTTTTTTTTTAAAATCAGACTACTTGATATCCCGAGTCTACCACATTTTAATGAGAGGACTTAAGGTGTATGGATTAATGAATTTGAATTCAGTAATTGTATTTAATACAATCATTTAGTGCCTACCACCTGAGCTATTAAAATTTAGATAAATAATTTTAAATTTATATTTCACTTAATATTAATAAATGAATAAGTTTATTTGAATTATTGATTTGAATTTAAATAATTCAGATGATACAGATATTCAATACTTGTACTGAATATAGTCGCTGAATTTAAATTTTAGATTAATCCGGTACAAGCCAGGAAGGACTGTGAAAAGTAGCAAAACTCTACTGTCAAGTAATCAATGCAATTTCATTTTTAGGACTCAATTTCTTATCAAGCTTACGAACCTTGCCGCTTGCAAGTTGATCCTTACTATTTAGGTGCATGCCTGTGTGCTTGGTCGCCAGCACTTCGCCTCCTATTTTGTGGGAGAGACCATTTATTTAGTCTTCATAGCTGGGTCCCTTCATTAAAACTGTGTTTGACTTTTTCATGGCTCCGTCCAATCTGCACGACTTGCACAGTCAAGTCTCTTAAACCTGGTCCACGTCGTCCCCCTCCGTAAGACTTAATTTCAAACCTCTCATCTATGCGCGTACTTATTTGTCTCTACTTTTTGTTCAAAACAAAAGGTACAGTCACTGTTATGTGTGTGTGTAAATGCAAGCACTACTTATTTCATACATAATCATTCTATTAATGTAAGTAGTGGCGAAGGAGCTTCTTTCATCTCTGCTGCTTCGTCATTTTATATTATATGAGAAAAGGCTGGTTACCTAGCTATGGGTATTGCAGCGGAGGATATCGAAGCTGGAGCTGATAAGCCAAAGCTTCAAACAGAACCCACCCTTCCCATTTATCTCAAGGTAATGCTGTTTTACGTGCCGTAAATGACTTACTTGGTTCCTATCCATTAATATTCCCTGCCTGCATGCGCCTATATTTGTATATATATATGTATATATGTTCGTAGCTTAAGCTCTGCCAGTGTTGAAACCTGGAATAGCTACATGCAACGACTAATTGATGAGGTACTGCATTATGTATTTGGGCAGGCAAAGATGAGGCTTCAATATTTAGCGATCAAGGCCGCCAATAGAACATACATGGCTTGCTTAGCAATATAGCATGGTCAGGTTCAGTCTTGTACGGAGTCTCATTTCGTAGGACACTGACGTACAAGACCACCCACCTTCTTTCTCGCTTGACCATCCATCAACCAAAAATTAGTTCACTACATAATTTACACACACACACACACACACACACACCCGCCTACCTAGCTCTGGTGCTAAAAATTTTTAAATTGCTCGTGGGTGTGCCTGGAACAGAGATACGGGCAAGTCCACTTAAATTTCTCTCACACTTGAGAAAGGCATATAGGGCTCATGAGTGAATGAAACTCTACTGGTTTTGAGGCTTTAGCCATGAGAGTCAGGCTGTCAAACATGGTTTTGCTGAGAAAGAAGGGTATGCTGTACATACGGATAGCCAGATGATTATTTTTCTTTTAAAAAATTGTCTTGGGGCCTTTTGAGCTAAGTTTTTACGCTCTATTTAATTAACGAAGTTAAATTACTATGTGGAATGTGCAGTTCAGGGAAATCAGTTACAAGGTAGTGCTCAGAGGAATGACAACATCGAAGGAGAAGGAGATATTGCATGGGATCACTGGTTCCGTGAATCCTGGAGAAGTTCTGGCTTTGATGGGTCCTTCAGGAAGCGGAAAGACGACTCTCCTGAATCTTCTTGGAGGCAGGCTAAATCAGCCCACTGTAAGTGGTTCCATCACGTACAATGACCAACCATATTCCAAGTTCTTGAAGAGCAGGTACTTGGAAACTGAAAAACAAGTTACTCAGAACAAGCTCATTGATTCCCCCCCAACCCCCCCCCCCCAACAAAAAAAGAAGTAAATATAGCATGCAGGACTAGTTTTCAAACTCACATATTAATATACCGCAGGATAGGATTCGTGACTCAAGATGATGTTCTGTTTCCTCACCTTACTGTGAAGGAAACACTGACATACGCAGCCCTCCTGAGACTGCCAAAGACAACTACGAAGGAGCAAAAGGAAAAACGAGCTTTAGATGTCATTCATGAGCTTGGCTTGGACAGGTAATTAATTACTTACATCAATGAAAATTAAAGACCAATATCGCTGTAGCCTCAGGTTATATCATTACGAACTCTATACTCACAACGTAAGTGGTAAAAGTCAATCATTATAAATTGTTTGTATGGAAAAAGGTGCCAAGACACTATGATAGGCGGTTCCTTTGTTCGTGGAGTATCTGGTGGAGAGAGGAAGAGAGTCTGTATTGGCAATGAGATCATAATCAACCCTTCTCTTCTGTTTCTCGACGAACCAACTTCTGGTTTGGATTCCACAACTGCCTTGAGAACTGTTCAGATGCTGCAAAACATAGCAGAGGTACGTGCTTGCTCTTAGCCTAATTCCCTTTAGGACACAAGATTCACCGTACGACTCTGCCTTTATCACTATAAGCTGTAAATCATATGGCAGGCTGGCAAAACAGTAGTGACAACAATTCACCAACCATCTAGCAGACTCTTCCACAGATTCGATAAGTTGATCCTTCTAGGAAAAGGGAGCTTGCTTTACTTTGGAAAAGCGTCAGAAGCAATGATTTACTTCCAATCTGTAGGATGCTTACCTCTTATTGCCATGAACCCGGCAGAATTCTTGCTGGACCTTGCTAATGGAAACATAAATGACGTATCTGTACCATCAGAGTTAGAGGATAAAGTACAGGTGGGAAATGCAGCAACTGAAACCCGGAATGGGAAACCATCACCTGCACTCGTACATGAGGTAACTTTTCATTATAGTTTCAATATCACTAGAGGGCGAAAACAAAAAGTTTCCCATCTGACTATAGACGAATTTTTACAGTATCTGGTGGAGGCCTATGAGACCCGAGTTGCAGAAACAGAGAAGAGAAAGCTAATGGATCCTATCCCCCTTGATGAAGAAGTGAAGACTCAGGTTTCTTCTCCTAAAAGACAGTGGGGTGCGAGCTGGTGTGAGCAATATTCCATATTGTTCTGGAGGGGAATCAAAGAGCGGAGACACGACTATTTTAGCTGGTTGAGAATCACCCAAGTTCTGTCCACTGCAATCATCTTAGGATTACTTTGGTGGCGATCTGATGCCACCACACCAAAGGGTCTTCAGGATCAGGTAAAGTAAACTTTTCATTAGTTCACAGCCCTGAGAGGGTAAAATAAGTTCTACTTTCTCATGACTCATAAAACCTAAACCTTTCTGGATTGCAGGCAGGGCTGCTTTTCTTTATTGCTGTGTTTTGGGGATTCTTTCCCGTGTTCACTGCAATATTTACCTTTCCTCAAGAGAGAGCCATGCTGAATAAGGAACGTGCGGCTGACATGTACAGACTAAGTGCATACTTCTTAGCTAGGACCACGAGTGACCTTCCATTGGATTTGATATTACCTGTCCTTTTCCTCCTTGTTGTTTATTTCATGGCTGGTTTGAGAGTGAGTGCAGCTCCCTTTTTCCTCAGCATTCTTACTGTTTTCCTCTGCATCGTGGCAGCTCAGGTATGCATTTCCTAACTGTTAAGAACCACATGATAAACCGATCTAATCTATGATTTTAATAACAACTGTCGCTTGTGAAGCAGGGACTTGGACTTGCCATTGGGGCCACACTAATGGACTTGAAAAGAGCAACAACTTTGGCTTCAGTTACAGTGATGACCTTCATGCTGGCCGGCGGATTCTTTGTGAAGGTAAGCACATTCATTATCCTTCAAGTTGAAGCAATGAAAATGATACCAATGATGGTGGAATAGAAGTAACTAACGTCTGCTCTTTTGAATTCGGCAGAAAGTCCCTGTATTTATATCTTGGATACGATACATGTCATTCAACTACCACACGTATAAACTCCTATTGAAGGTGCAATATGAGCACATAACACCAAGCGTAAATGGGATGAGAATTGACAGTGGTTGGACGGAGGTGGCTGCTCTGATAGCCATGGTTTTTGGTTATCGTCTCCTGGCTTACCTTTCCTTGCGATGGATGAAACTTCAATGAATTTGGAGCTTCGAAGTTGAGACAGTACATGCAAATGCAACTATAAACACGCCTAAGCGTTTCCACTCTCATTGAACCAGGGATATTTAAGGGAAGATCATGACAAAGTTCCGAGTTTGGACGAGATAGAAAATTCTAGTCTTTTAGTATCTGCAGTACTGTAGTTCGTGAGGATTTTGAAGCGCTGACAAGCGTCCTCGGATGATATCTTGAAACACCGGTGAGATGGGCGGCTCCTGAGATTTTTCCCCTTCCCCCAATATATATATATATATATATTTATATATATATGAAGATTATCTAACTCAAAGACAATCGGAGACCTTTGGTATTGTTCAACTTTAAATGACTAGTTACAATTCAGCCTTTTATGTTTGGCTTAATAGGGGAAAAATATGACTTTTAATTTGATGATCATTCCGTAAAAGGATTTTGCAATGGCCACCAAATACGTTAAAAACATTAAGTCGAACAATGATAATTTTGTGGGGTTACACCACAATGATAATGGTGTTTGACAATCCAAAAGCCTGTAACGGCAGGCTGTAATGTAGTAAGTAAATAAAAGTTCGTTATGTCACGAAGAAATAAGCGATATCCCTGGCTGCTTAGAAAGACAAACTTGCGAGTGATTGGTCTTACGGTCCTATTTGTAAGGGGTTTAAAACACTTTTCACGTGTTTTTTTTTAAATTATTATTATTATATCATTTAATTATATCCTTGTGTTAATTAAAGAAAGACAATTGCTACGTTCCATATTATTTGTGCAAATGCTTTCATAAGTTCAAGGGTGGAATAAAAAATTGTTTCATTTTTTTATTTCACATCTTATACTCAGGAATTTTTTTTTAATTTTTATATAGCACCTTGAACATAAAATGAGAGTAGCAGATAATTTATTCTGTGGTCCCAAAATCATTATTGGAAGATTTTATTTTCAAAACTTTGGTGGAAATTGCAGCCGCTGAGTGAGAATGGACCTGGAACACGAAAGTTGGGGCAAGCGATTGGTTCAAGAGGGCATGGCTTTAAATGACCAAATAGCCAAATTGAGACAGCTAAGAAAAGTCTTCAAGATCAGTTTAATGATTACGACAGAACCATATGAACATACAAAACCTCGTCCAAATAGAGACAGCCCCAGTCGAAAGAGAGAGCATCTCAAGAGCCTTAACCTGTTTGGAGCGAAAACCTTTATTTTCATATAAATTACATTTTATTTCTGAGGCTTTTTAACATGAGACTCATAATAAAATATAGATTTCAGTTCATAAATTTCTTTACCGTATCAAATTTGCTTTTATCCTTATTATTATTTTCTTTTTTTTTCATTTTTATAATATGAATATAATTGATTGCGAAAAAATATTTGATTAATATGATTAATTTTAAATATAATTAATTATATTATCTGATATAAATTAATTTATAAAATAGATTAGTAATATTGATTTTAAGCAAAATTAAAAAGTAGAATTGAAAAGCAAAAGTGAAAATCATATTAAACAATAGTTTTATGAAAATATATCAAAACACTTCTCCATGTCAAAATCAATTATAAACTTAAAATTATTACATTTTTTTAAAAAAATTATCCAAATATCACGTCAAAATTAATTATAAGAAATCAAGGTTTTATTAAAATATTCAAAATTTTTATATATCCCACAATCAATAATAAACCTGAAACATTTTAAATTTAAAAATGATAAGTTATTTGCATTAAATATATGCATTTTATAATTGAAGTTTAAAAACAACTTTAAAATTTTTTGATATATTATGATACTATCAATTATCGGATGTTGACATTAGCTATCAATTATCAAATATTGATTATGAAAAAAAATAATTTTTTCTATTTTAAAATACTATATTATAGTTTTTTTATTTTTAACTATGATTATAATGTTAAAAAATAAACGATTGGACCTACGGAAATTGAATCTAATAGAAAGGATTAGTCCCTTGTTACATGACAAATTAAGATTCAAATTTTTATTATAAAAAATATTCAGATTTAGTGTCCAATGATAACTCAATAACATCTGTATTTTTTTTTTTTTTTTGCCTCTTGCTCAGGCAGACTCGATCGCCAGCACTACCTTGTCCCCTCGCACAAATGCTAATTGCTCTCGCCTTTGCCCTGATGGTGTTGTCCATGATGCTGTCAATCGGGTTGAAGCCATGGGTTGAATCAAATGGGTTTCCAATGAGCTTCTTACACTCATCAAATCAGCCTCATTTTTTCCCCCCGACTTCCAGGTGTTTCAATTTCTTGTCTTCCCATGTTCCTATTCCGGCTTCTCAGCGTTCATTTTTCTTTTCACATCTTTTTTGTCTTGTGTCTCTATTGATGCCTCTACAATGGGATCAAAACCTGTGAGATGCCGCCGTATTCAACGTGCCACTTGAGAAAGCCTTGAAGGCATCTTCGATCAAATTTTGATCTCTCTATTACATTCTATTATGTGGCCATATTTTTAGTACCACAACTGACGCTTTAGTAAGGTTTTCATCAATTTGCGCTGCTCAAAGGCAACAATAGTTTGACGAGACAACATGTGCATGGCTGCAGCCTTGTAAGAGCCAAGAGAACTTATGGTCATCATTATAAGAGGAGTTATTCGTGAATATATACCTGTATCCTGATATTTTATATTTCTTCTGTCTTTTGTTGCTTACTAACAGCACTCTCTAAGCAATAATTATATATAATAGCATAATTAAGTAGAAGAATTAATAAAAAAAATACAATCAAATTAAACTAAAATTAAAGTAAACAATCACATACACACGCACATTAACAATTTATATTTAAAAAAGTTAAGAGGCATACCCAAAATTCTTTAGAGGAGGAGGAATGGTGGGAGGAAGACGAGGAGGGGGATCGGTACAGGGGGAGGGGGAACGAGGGTCGCAGCAAGTGGAGGGTGGCCACAGGAGTGGGGTCACAGCAAGGAGGGGGAAGGGGGTCGCGAATGGTTGGGGAAAGGGGAGGGTGGTCGCAGGACAGAATAGAAGAAGGAGTAACATGCAAGTGTGAGAGAAAAGAAGAGGAAGGAATAGATTTAAATACGGTTTCTGCATTGGGCGCAAGTGACTTGATGTAGAAAAATGCTTTTCTACATCGAGTAACCTACACTCACTATGAAAAAACATAGTTAAAAATATTTTTAAAAATAAAAAATTAACATTCTATATCAGTTCTATGCGTCCGATGTAAAAAGTAATTATTTTTTAGAAATTCATGGCACTTTCTACATGGGGTATGAAGAACTCGATGTAGAAAGTGTACTTTTTATATAGGTTAGAAGGTACTCGATGTAGAAAGTCTATAAGTCAAATGTAAATATTATAAAAATGCCATCGCCTATATTTTTTATATCGTTTGCTTCCAACTAATATAAAAAGTTTCTTGAAAAATCCATAATTTGTACTAATGACAAGTGCAATTTTTTTAAGGGGAGAATGAAATTTTTGTAAGGGGATGTTACTGTTAGAAAAATGTAAATTAGCAAAAAAATTTAATGAGGGATCATCTATTCCTCTCTAAAATACCAAATTAGCAAGGGATGTTAATTTCATAACTCGACTTAAAATTAGTGAGGGACTGTCAATCTTCTCTAAAATAAGATAATTAGCGAGAGACGACTGTAAGTCCTTCTCTGAAATAAAATAATTAGCAAGAAATTCTATCCTTAGCTAATTATTGTGAAAAAATTTGATTTTTGGCAAAGACTTTTAATTATATATTTATTTATTTTCATTTAAAAATAAAAATTATATTTTAAAATTAACTAAAATATTCATAATAAAATTATTTAATATTTAATATTTACTTTATTTTAAGTTCATTTTCATTAATAAAATAATATTTTATTAAAAATATAATATAAATAATAATTTGAATAACATATAAATATTCTAACATATTAATAATTAAAAATAAAATTTAATATATATACGTGTGTGTATTTTTATAATATATTATTTGATATATTTTTGTAGTTAAATAATATATTTATATTTAATTTCTTATAAAATAATTCTAAGTGCCTTTCAGTTCAACGAGTAAAGAAGAAGAGCATAAGGTTTAAAAGGTAGGAGATCAAGTATTCAAGTCTTTGCCTTAGTATAAACATAATGAATATGTGACATGGCAATGAGCAAGTAACATGGTGTGAGGTGAACGATGGTAGGTGATAGGTGATGAGTTGTCATGAGTTGTCACACACGTGACAGGTGATGAGGCACAAGATGGTAGGTGACATGGTGATTGATAAGGCATGAGATTGTTGGTGACATGTCACAAGTTAATACATACATGGTAGATGATATGACATCATCATTTTTAAATATAGGTATATTTAGCGAGGGACTAATCCCTTACTAAAATTATAGAATTTTAAATAATATTAATAAGGAATTAGTGAGGAATGTAGCCCTCGCTTAAAACGATCCAGGGACTGAATCCCTCACTAACTATGATATCTCACTAAATTTAGCAAGCTGTTAAATGGTATTTAGAAAGGAATTTATCCATTGCTAAATTTCATTTTTTTAGTAGTGATGGGATAACTGGAATTTTATAGAGGGGGGAAAATGAAATTTTTAAGACGCTGCATGTACTCTTATCTTGCCTTGTTTGCCCCCATCATGTAACAAGTAGCACCCATCTCTACTCTTAAATGTTATTGTCATTGAGTGATTTAACTGTCATGGAGAAGTGGATATGAAATGCCATTAGCTTCAAATGAAATTTAAGGCCCAAAAAGAAAGGGAAAAAAAAAAAGACTTTGAGCGGCATGACAGGTGACCTTGCTTAATCTAACAAAATGACATCTATTAAGGATTTGATTTTGTCTGCGGATGTGTGAAGGGTCATTCTTATGACATGAGGAAATGAACAAAAGAGTAGTTGATGAATTGCTTATTCTTACTCAAGGGAATTCTCACAAATTATAGGATGATCCATTGCAATTCTTCAATTGCTTATGCATTATCAATCCCTGTGCATTCCTTGATTGTCATTTCCATAAATGTCAAGAAACCTCATCCTCTCCTATTTATGCAGTGCGTCACTATATCTATTAGGATGTTATGGTTTAAGATCAGGGGGTGGTTTCACCTCAATGCTTATGGTCTTCTTATCTAGCCATATTAAAATGGTATGTTTCCAATAGTTTTATAGCAAAGTCTTAGACTTTATCCTCGCATCTTTATGTTGTAGTCTAGATTGAGAGATTGATGCTTTGGGTAGAGGGAATGTGAATTTGTCTCAACAACTTGAGTGGCATGAAGGGAGATCCTGCCTAGTCTAAAAAATTGGCATTGATTAAGGTTTTGATTTAGTCTGTT